TGGTTGTCCTGTAAAAATGACTGCAAGAGCACAGCGCAGAATGCTGTATGAGGTAAAGAAGAATCCCAGAGTGTCAGCTAAAGTCCTACAGAAATCTCTGGCACATGCTAACATTTTTGTTGACACATCTACAATAAGGAAAACATTAAACAAGAATGGAGTACATGGGAGGACACCACGGAGGAAGCCATTGCTGTCCAAAAAGAATATTGCAGCACGTTTGAAGTTTGCAAAAGAACACCTGGATGTTCCACAGCACTACTGGCAAAATATACTGTGGACAGATGAAACCAAGATTGAGTTGTTTGGGAAGAACACACAACACTATGTGTGGAGAAAAAAAGGCACAGCACACCAACATCATCCCCACTGTAAAACATGGCGGAGGGAGCATCATGGTTTTGGGGCTGCTTTGCTGCCTCAGGGCCTGGATGGATTGTTGTCATTGATGGGAAAATGAATTCCAGAGTTTATCAAGACATTTTGCAGGAAAACGTACGACCATCTGTCCGCCAACTGAAGCTCAGCAGAGGATGGGTTATGCAACAGGACAATGACCCAAAGCATACAAGTAATTCAACAAAGCAATGGCTGCAACAGCACAGAATACGCCTTCTGGAGTGGCCCAGTCAGAGTCCTGACCTCAACCCGATTGAAATGCTGTGGCATGACCTTAAGAGAGAGATTCACACCAGACATCCCAAGAATATCGCTACACTGAAACAGTTTTGTGAAGAGGAGTGGTCCAAAATTACTCCAGATCGTTGTGCAGGTCTGATCTGCAACTACAGGAAACGCTTGGTTGAGGTTATTGCTGCCAAAGGAGGGTCAACCAGTTATTAAATCCAAAGGTTCACATACTTTTTCCTCCCTGCACTGTGAATGTTTACATGTTATGTGCAATTAAACCATGGCAACATCTAATGTTTTTGTAGTATTATGTTCATCAACTGTGTTCTTCTATTGTTGTGAATTAGAGGACGTTCAGAGCACATTTTATGCCCAATTCATGCAAAACTCCACGTAATCCCAAGGGGTTCACATACTTTTTCTTGCAACTATATATATATATATATATATATATATATTTTTTTTTTTTTTTTTTTTTTTTTATTGTACTTTACTTCAGTCCCTGCCCGCAAGGAACTTACAATTTAAGGTCTCTAACTCACATTCATAGATACACATACTAGGGCCAATTTAGGCAGCAGCCAATTAATCTACTAGTATGTCTTTCAAGTGTGGGAGGAAACCACAGTACCCAGAGGAAACCCATGCAGGCACAGGGAGAACATCCAAACTACAGGCAGATAGGGTCATGGTTGGGATTTGAACAGACGACCCTATTGCTGCTAGGTGGAACAGCTAACCACTTAGCCACTGTGCTGTGCCCACTTCTACTTCTAGAGGAGAGAACAGTCATGGTCAAACTCAACTTTTAGCAACGGACAAAGAACTGTTCATGATGATTTTCTTTTCCCATGAACATCTGGAAAAGAGTTCATATTAAAAGTTACATTGCATATGGTATTATTAACATTTGTCGGGATTATTTTAATAAAAAATGTCAATTGTATTATTATTGCATAAGTGAATACTTGTCTAATTAAGTAATTTGGGTTTTATATTACTATATACAATTTCCATATTTATATATTTTATTTATATTAATTGGTTTTAGCAATACATATTGGTATATATCTTGGATACATATTGGTATATATTTTGGAGATGATGTTTTCAACATTATAAATAATTATTTTGAATTTATTGTATTACAATGTCTGTATGCTACAGAAGAAGATCCATAATTAAGAAATCTCAGTACAAATGACCTCAGCGAATGTCTGTAAGATGTATAGATAGAAAAGTTTTCATAAGCACTTAGGTAATACATTATTTTAAGAGACACTGGTCCCAGTTTGTCTAATGAATCCTGTCAAAAGAGCAACTACCTCTTGAGTTTATTGAATTCCAACAAACTGAAGGTTAGAGGTCAACTGTTGACATGGTACAAGAGGTTGTAGGAAAAATCCTAAATAATTCCTTATTCTATACTGCCCCTTTAGGTAATTGGAATCATTTTGTAAAGGAAATGACACTATGAGTGATGTCATAATTAAGTGAGATAAGCTTTGTCCGCCTAGGTTTTTTGGGTGTTAAAAGTTAGGAGATAGTTGGAGTGGGGAGAAAAAAAAAAAAAAGGACAGACAGAGGGGAAAAAAAAATGAACAAAAGACGGACACACACAGGCATATTTGTCACACTTAAATTATTCAAATGATCAAACAAGTTTTAATATTACACAAAGATATCCTGAGTAAATACAAAATTCAGTTTTTAAATGAGGATTTCATTTATTAAGGGAAAAAGATGTTCACACCTGCTGGCCTTCTGTGAAAAAGTAATTGCCTCTAAACCTAAGAAATCTATTGTGCCGCCCTTGGCGGCAACAACTGTAATCAAGCATTTGCGATAACTGGCAATGAATCTTTTACATTGCTGTGGAGGAATTTTGCCCATTCTTCTTTGCAGAATTGTTTTAATTCAGCCACATTGGTTTTTGAGCATGAACGGCCTGTTTAAAGTCATACCACAGCATCTAAATCGGATTTAGATCCAGACTTTGACTAGGCCACTCCAAAACCTCAATTTTGTTTTTTTTTTAACTATTCAGTGGTGGACTTGCTGGTGTGTTTTGGATCATTGTCCTGCCGCATAACCCAAGTGCGCTTGAGCATGAAGTCATGAACCAATTGCCAGACACTCTCCTTCAGGATTTTCTGGTAGAGCTCAGAAATTCTGATTCCATCGATTATGGCAAGTCGTCCTGGTCCTGAATCTGCAAAAGCAGCCCCAGACCATCATACTAAAACCACCACGTTTCACTGTTGGTATGATGTTCTTTTTATGAAATGCGCTATTATTTTTATGCCAGATGTAATGGGATTTTTGGCAAATGCGAGACGAGCCTTTGTGTTTCTTTTGGTCACCAGCAGCTTTCACCTTGGAACTCTCCCATGGATGCCATCTTTGTCCAGTCTCTTTCTTATTGTTGAATCATGAACACTGACCTTAACTGAGGCAAGTGAGGCTTGCAGTTCTTTAGATGTTGTTCTGGGTCCTCCTGGATGAGTCATTATTGTGCTTTTAGAGTAAGTTTGGTAGACCAGTCACTCCTGGGAAGGTTCACCACTGTTCCAAGTTTTCTCCATTTGTGGATAATGGCTTTCACGTGGTTCAATGGAGTCCCAAAGCCTTAGAAATGGCTTTGTAACCCTTTCCCGACTTGATACATGTCAATTACTCATTGGTTCTTGAATTTATTTAGAGAGTGGCATGATGTCTTGCTTTTTGAGATCTTTTAGTGTAATCTTCACTTTGTCAGACAGCCCTTTAAGTGATTTCTTGATTCAACAGGTCTGGCAGTAATCAGGCCTGGGCGTGGCAAGTGAAATTTAACTCAGCTTTCCAAAAAAGTGGTTAATCACAGTTCATTCACGGTTTAGGGGGGGGGGGGATGCAATCACTTTTTCAGGCAGGTTTGGACAGCTTTTTTCCCTTCATAAACAAAAATCATCACTTAAAAACTGCAATTTGTATTGACTTTGGTTCTTTATATTTGTGTGATATTAAAATTTGTTTTTCACACTTTCACTAATTTGTTTTCATTAATTTTTCACAGCACTGTAGGCGAGAGACCATCTTATACTCTCACCGGCCACTTTATTAGGTACACCTTGCTAGTACCGGGTTGGAGCACCTTGTGCCTTAAACACTACCTTAATTCTTCATGGCATAGATTCAACAAGGTGTATGAAACATTCTCAGAGATTTTGGTCCATATTTACATGATTTCATCATGTAGCTGCTGCAGATTTGTCAGCTGCACATCCATGATGCAAATCTCCCATTCCACCACATACCAAAGGTGCTCTACTGGATTGAGATCTATTGACTGTGGAGGACACTGGAGTACAGTGAATTCATTTTTATGTTCAAAAGACCAGTTTGAGATGGTTTGAGCTTTGTGACATGGTGCATTATCCAGCTGGAAGTAGCGATCAGAAGATGGGTACACTGTAGTCATAAAGGGTTGGACATGCTCAGCAACAATACTCAGGTAGGCCGTGGCATTTAAACAATACTCAACTGGTACTAAGGGGCCCAAAGTGTGCCAATATCCCCCACACCATTACACCACCAGCCTGAACTGTTGGTACAAGGCAGAATGGATCCATGCTTTCATGTTGTTTACACCAAATTCTGACCCTACCATCTGAATGTTGCAGCTGAAATCGAAACCAGGCAACATTTTTCCAATCTTCTATTGTCCAATAATGGTGAGCCTGTGCAAATTGTAGCCTCCATTTCCTGTTCTTAGCTGACAGTAGTGGCACCCGGTATGGTCTTCTGCTGTTGTAGCTCATCTGCTTCACAGTTCCACGTGTTGTGAGACGGTATTCTGCATACCTTGGTTATAACGAGTTATTTGATTTACTGTTACCTTTCTAACATCACAAACCAGTCTGCCCATTCTCCTATGACCTCTGACATCAACAAGGCATTTTCATCCACACAACTGCTGCTCACTGGATATTTTCCCTTTTTCTGACCATTCTGTGTAAACCGTAGAGTTGGTTGTGTGTGAAAATCTCAGTAGATCAGCAGACTTTGAAATACTCAGCCCAGTCCATTTGGCACCAATAACTATGCCACATTTAAAGTCACCTAAATCCCTTTTCCCCCATTCTGATGCTCAGTTTGAACTTCAGCAAGTCATCTTCACCATGCCTAGATGCCTAAATACATTGAGTTGCTGCCATGTGATTGGCTGATTAGCACTTTGTGTTACCAAGCAACTGAATAGGTGTACTTAATAAAGAGGCCGATGAGTGTATATCTACAACGTGGCTCTGGTACACACATACCAAGAATCCAAGTCACCATCCACCCAAAACTCGCATTACATACTGACCATTACAACAAGCTATACTTACTGTATAAGAGCAGCTCTTTCAAAGTACTTAATAGCTTTCTCACAAAATTGTGTGTCAATGTAGTAGGCTCCCAGCCACTGAATGACTTCAATGTTTGAAGGGAAATAGCGATATGACTGCAAGGCAAAAGAAACATTTTCAGTCATAAATAACATCTTTCCCTGGCACTTGTGGAAAATCTGAGCCATGTAAATATTTAAAGCTAAGCCTGCCAGCAATTAGTCACATATGAATGCAGCCAATGTATACTGGGTGTAAACCGGCCTGATGAAGAGGAATGTTTATGGATCACAAGAACGAAAGGAATTATGCTTGGCTGTTTACCTGGTCAGTGATACAAATATCCTGAATGTAAGAGCAGTTTATAAACAACAGTGAAAATACAAGTACTCGTGTTACATTTACTGAAACCCCACTGACATGGCACAGGTAGGTCCTGCTCACAATTAGGGCCTGGTCCCACCAGCAAGCCACGATGAACAAACAGCTGCTGGTGTGAGAAACACCGTGCCAATGCACCAATCCCAGTGCACTGCATAGACCACTTTTTTCACAGAACTTTATTAAAGTACAATCCTATTCACTGCAGTGGTGCTGGGATGTGCCAGTTTGCAGTACAACTTGATGAGCTGGAAAAAAAAAAATACTGCAAAGCAGAACCTTTTTTCAGCACACCACAGCAACATTGTGAAGTGAAATGACACCCTTGTAAACAAGGCATTTTACCTAGTCTATGTATAGTGGCCGCACTGGACAGCATAGCCCCAAGGCATCTGGTGTGAACGGGTCCTTTGGGAATTATTAAAGAAGAACTCTCAAGGTAATTTATAAATAAAATCTGTGCAAATCTAAAAGCATATTTAGAGGTCTGGAAATGTTAAGGTATAAAATAAAACTTTTGTAAGAATCTCACTTCTCTTTTATTCAATTTCTGTTTATCTGTTCATCCCCACAAAGACTGCTGATTGCAGGCTGTGACAGACTTTGTCACCTGGGAAATAGAAGCCAGAAAACGTTTGGTGAGACTTCTTCTTTAAAGAAAACATGAACTTAGAGGGATATGAAGGCTTCCATTGCTCATCCTAATTGAAAAAAAAATTGTTTCTTGGCTGCATCCGCATTCAGCACTGAAAAATACTTGTTCAATTCTGCGTTCAGCACATCCAATAAAGGAAACCTTACCTGGAAGAAACATTAAAATATGATGACGTTTTCTGGCTGTCATGCTGATCCTCTAGCTTTGAGAATACTGAATAACTTTCTGACAGCAAGCCTGCAGTATGTGAAGTGAGAACTCATGATCAACATATCAGTGACTGTCAGGTCCTTAAATGAATCAAAGGGTCAGTTCACTGAAAGAAAAGAGCTGTTATACTTCTCTCTCAGCCAGTGTCCCTTACCTACCTTCTCTTCCCAGCACTGTAGCCTCCCTCATCCTCATTGCCTTTTGACACTTCCTGGAGTGTCGGATGCCTGTGCCTGGTACCTCATTCTGGCCCCTATGTCGCTGCTGAGTCATGTCTTGACATAAGGTACCAGTGTACAGCGGGAGTCACAGGCATCTGAAACTCCTGAGACATGCAAAAGGAAACACAGCAGGGCACCAGGTCAGAGTGGATAAAAACAGTGGAACTTTATTCAAGAAGCATTTACATGTAAATACTCCACAAACAGCATCCTGATAAGAGTGCAGTGAGCAAGGACAGCTCTCACTCCAGATTAGTGGAGCCGACAATCTCTGCAGGGAGTGGGGAGAGACCCGCTGAAGATGGAGGTACACAGCGTCCCTCCATGCACTCCCACCGAATGGCCAGGGTGTCTGACAGGTACTGTGGATGACAGGTGGGCGGGTCACAACATGTTTCTGAGGCTCTGCCTCCTTTATCAAGCAGGCCCGCCCCTTGACAGGACACAATGTTCACAGCTGACAGGAGGATTGCTGGCCTACCGACCTGTCATCCACGGCACCTGTCAGACACCCCAGCCATTCGGCACAAACTCACGGAGGGACAGGGCGTATCTCCATCTCCAGCGGATCCTTTCCCCACTCCCTGCAGCGATTGTCGGCTCCACTAATCTGGCGTGAGAACTGTCCTTGCTCACTGCACTCTATCAGGATGCTGTTTGTGGAGTATTTACATGTAAGTGCCTCTTGAATAACGTTTCACTGTTTTTATCCAAGCTGACCTGGCACCCTGCTGTGTTTCCTTTTGCATTTCTCGTGATGGCTTCCCTGATCCTTGGAAAGGAGCTGCCGGTGATTGCCTGTGTTTAGTCTTCATCGCCCACACCTTTCCTCATTTAACAACCATGTGGAGGGACTGATCTTTTGACACACCATCCTCTGCACAATTGCAAGTTTTTGTTACATTGTATCCAGTGACAACTGTTACCATTTATTATGTACAGTGAGGAACAGAAGTATTTGAACACCCTGCAATTTTGCAAGTTCTCCCACTTAGAAATCATGGAGGGGTCTGAAATTCACATTGTAGGTACATTCCCACTCTGAGACAGAATTAAAAAAAAAAAATTCAGGAAATCACATTGTATGATTTTTAAAGAATTTATTTGTCTTGCACTGCTGAACATATGTATTAGAACATCTAAGAAACAGCAAGAATTCTGGCTCTCAAAGACCTGTTACTGTGCCTTTAAAAAGTCCACCTCCGCTCATTAATCTAACTTAGTAGTACCTGTCTGAGCTCTTTAAAGACACCTGTCCACCCCACAGTCAGTCAGACGCCAACTACTACCATGGGCAAGACGAAAGAGCTGTCAAAAGACACCAGAGACATAATTGTGGACCTCCACAAGGCTGGAAAGGGTTATGGGCCAATTGCCAAGCAGCTTGGTGAAAATAGATCAACTGTTGGAGCAATTGTTAGAAAATGGAAGAGGCTAAAGAAGACTGTCAGTCTCCCTCGGACTGGGGCTCCATGCAAGATCTCACCTCGTGGGGTATCACTGATAAGAAAGGTTAGGAATCAGCCCAGAACTACAAGGGAGGAGCTGGTCAATGACATGGAGAGCTGGGACCACAGTTTCAAAGGTCACTGTCGGTAGAACACTATGACGTCATGGTTTCAAATCATGCATTGCACGGAAGGTTCCCCTGCTCAAGTCATCACATGTCCAGGCCCGTCTGAAGTTTGCCAATGACCATCTGGATGATCCAGAGGAGGCATGGAGAAAGTCATGTGGTCAGATGAGACCAAAGTAGAACTTTTTGGTATAAACTTCACTGGTGTTTGGAGGAAAAAGAAGGATGAGTTGCATCCCAAGAACACCATCCCTACTGTGAAGCATGGGGGTGGTAACATCATGCTATTGGGGTGCTTTTCTGCGAAGGGGACAGGACGACAGCACTGTATTAAGGTGAGGATGAATGGGGCCATTTATTGTGAGATTTTGAGCAACAACCTCCTTCCCTCAGTCACAACATTGAAGATGGGTCGTGGCTGGGTCTTCCAACATGACAACAACCCCAAGCACACAGCCAGGATAACCAAGGAGTGGCTCCATAAGAAGCATATCCAGGTTCTGGAGTGGCCTAGCCAGTCTCCAGACCTAAATCCAATAGAACATCTTTGGAGGGAGATGAAACTCCGTGTTGCTCAGCGACAGCCCCGAAACCTGTCAGATCTAGAGGAGATCTGTGTGGAGGAGTGGGCCAAAATCTCTGTTGCAGTGTGTGCAAACCTGGTCAAGAACTACAGGAAACGTTTGACCTCTGTAATTGCAAACAAAGGCTTCTGTACCAAATATTAACACTGATTTTCTCAGGTGTTCAAATACTTATGTTCAGCAGTGCAAGACAAATACATTCTTTAAAAATCAAACAATGTGATTTCCTGAATTTTTCTTTTTAATTCTGTCTCTCAGAGTGGGAATGCACCTACAATGTGAATTTCAGACCCCTCCATGATTTCTAAGTGGGAGAACTTGCAAAATCGCAGGGTGTTCAAATACAAGAGAATGGTCCAGGAAGACAGCATGGTTGCAGAGGAAAACTTCTGCAATCGCAAAGATTGCAAATTCCTCACTGTATATGGACTTGTCTACTAGTGATAATGCGTGTGAGCACTGGAAAAGACATTGTGGTTATTTCATTTATAATGTTATGCTTATAAAGTGCCTCTTTTGTAAAGGTCAGTGGGGGTTGATATATTTTGGGACACAACTGTATATTGGACTTTGTCTACTAGTTCATCATCCTTACCACATTCCATCATCATCTGAGCGCTGGATATGCTTGTAATTTTTACAAGGTGTTGTATATGTTATCTGGAAACATAGCTCACTGGAGAGGTAAGTATAATAGTGCTTTCTTTTGCAGGGAACTGGCCTTTTAATTTGTTTAGGGACCTGACGGGATGTCAGCATGACAGCCAGGCATCTATCATTTACAGAAGTAACAAAAGCAACCCCAAAATTTTCCTTAGTACAGGTTTTCCTAAACATTAGATATGCTAGCATACCTTAAAATGCACACATTCCAATATAAATGCATCTCTTTCAGGCCTGTTTTGACTGGCTTTGGGCTTGTGTTATTTATTTTATTTCAGGTACTTATATAGTGCCATCATTTGTTTACACAGCGCTTTCAAAACACATATATATTGTACATTCACATTGGTTCCTAACCCTCAAGGGGTATACAATCTAAGGTCCCTAACTTACATTCATACATGCACATACTAGGGCCAGTTTTGACAGGATCCAGGGGCCAGTTTTGACAGCATCCAATTAACCTACCAGCATGTCTTTGGAGTGTGGGAGGAAACCTGAGTACCCGGAGGAAACCCATGCAGGCACAGGGAGAACATGCAAACTCCAGGCAGGTGGTGTCGTGGTTGGGATTTGAACCGACGACCCAAGTACTGCCAGGCGGAAGTGCTAACCACTTAGCCACTGTGCTGCCCGTGTTAATGTAATCAATCTGACAGAACAATGGCAGAAAAAGACCAAGTGGTCCATTCAATAGGAATTCAAATGTTTATGCATGGTAAACAGAACTTAAACCAGTCTGAAATGCAAACCTTTTCCCCCTGTCACTATGATGTGTTTGACTTCTAGAGTCAGTTACCTGCATTTACTAAGGCTGGGCTTACACCAGCACTGCACTGCAATGTATGGCCACTGGTGTGCGCTGAGAATAAGCAGCAAAGGGCAGTGCAATATATTGTTTACAGAAACCGCACTGTTTACATTTTTGTTTTTTGTAACTTAATTTGAAGTGTCACAAATTGACACTTCAATCAAGTCTCTGCCAGCAGTGCATTGTGATGCACTGCAATGATATGTGGTGTCATGTGATGTGATAAAAAGTTTTTGATTATTGTATCACAGCTCACACCGACGCAGTGCATTGATGTGACCTACACCTATTGAAAGCAAGACTGTTTTCCTTGTCTTTGCTTATGCATAGTTTGAGACCAGCTTAACTCAAAAGTATGCTTTCTTGTGATTGGATTTGACTTGCTTTTGACATTCTCAGACAGGAGCCCATATAAACCTACATGTTGCAATTTCTGAAGCTTTTCAATAAAAAAAAAAAATAGAGCTGCAGAGCAAATCTGGGGCACTCGTGGTTTCCTGTTGCAAGTGACCAAAAGACTGAAAATGGAGTGAAGAGGATCAATTCGACTACAGTGTTGTAACTGCAAACTGCTGTAAATCTGATTTTTTTTGGTTGCCCAAAACCAGGAAATCATTGACACTGTGGGTAGCACATTACTGGGGACAATTTAACACCATTTAATCATTCTGTTGACAGAAAATCAGGGTGTTCTGGTATGAGCTACAATAGTAAGGCAAGGGAGAAGAGGACACAGTGAACACACAGGCTGTTTGAATACCAGATCACTCTAGTGTTCTGGGGTCCCTGGTTGCTCAAAAAAAAAAATGAAACTGATATATAGCATAAGTAACATTCATTCTCTCCACTCTTTTATTTTATGTAATTCCAGGATGATAAATAAAAGCATATCAATGGTATATACCTTCATGCTGTATATGTTCTTTTACTAACTATATGAACATATAAATATGACACCTACCTCACAGTAGTACTGAAAGGCTTGTGTTTTGTCACCCTCTGTATCATACAACTCGCCAAGTTTAGCCAGTGCTTGTGAATCTGTAGGAGCTATACTAATAAGCTGCATTAGCCATTCTATTGCCTGATTTGGATCCTCAAGCAATTCATACCTACACAAGCTAAGTTAAGGAAAATTAAATATTAGAACACAATAAAAGACAACTTCATTTTTTTTTAAAAAAGGCCCTGTGTATAAGTAATAAAACTAAAGAGAAGAAGGGAGTAGTGGTTCCAGATATCACAGGTATACACAAATGGTAGGTTTGAATAATAAAATTGTATAATATATGACCAGCCTTATGAGGAGGCAAAAGTGAGAAACCAATTCTGATACACCGATAATAACTGTAAAAATGTTTTCATTTGTTTTAAGTTTTGGAAAGAGTGGGGATGGGTTAAAATCAGTTTTTTTTTTACAGTGCCTTGAAATAGTATTCATCCCCCTGGACGTTTTCCACATTTTGTCATGTTACAAATGTGAATGTATTTTATTAGGTTTTTATGTGATAAATCAACACAAAGTGGCACATGATTGTGAAGTGGAAGGAAAACGATAAATGGTTTTCAAAATTTTTTACAAGTTAATATCTGAAAAGTGTGGTGTGCATTTGTATTCAGCTCCCTTTACTCTGATACCCCTAACTAAAATCTAGTGGAACCAATTGCCTTCAGAAGTCACCTAATTAGATAATAGAGTCCACCTGTGTGTAATTTAATCTCAGTATAAATACAGCTGTTCTGTGAGTATTCTCAGAGTTTTGCTAGAGACTATTAGTGAACAAACAGCATCATCAAGCCCAAGGACAGGGCTAGAAAGGTCAGGGATAAAGTTGTGGTGAACTTTAAAGCAGGGTTAGGTTATAAAAAAAATATCACAAGCTTTCAGCATCTCACAGAGCACTGTTCAATCCATCATCCAAAAATGGAAAGAGTATGGCACATTTGCAAACCTACGAAGACATGGCCATCCACCTAAACTGACAGGCCGGTAAGGACAGCAATAATCAGAGAAGCAGCCAAGAGACCCATAGTAACTCTGGAGGAGCTGCAGAGATCCACAGCTCAGGTGGGAGAATCTGTCCACAAGACAACTCTTCTGCCCTCTTCTGCTGCGGATATGTACCTTACACACACTCCCCCATCATTCCAATTACCTCCAGATCACTTGAAAATAAACAGTATCTTTGGGAATGGGGGTACACGTGAGCCACTCACATAGAGCACTGTTGAGTAAGTACAGGGAGAAAGATTATTAGCTCTGTTAGCTCTGACATGGCCCAACAGAGACCTTACACAGGGCTCTTAATGTAGGGCTCCTGCAGGAACAGCTACAAGGGAGCGTGAGTATCTGCTGGATAGGTGGTCTGCCAAGAGAAAGTGTCTGGATGAAAATGTTCCTTTCAGGTCAAAGTGGCGGGTTCAACAAAGGACATCTGTACTTAGCTGCAGGGCTTTCCTGCCTCATTCTACATTGTCTTTTAGATAGGTATAAAACTTGGCTATGCCCTCACCATGAAGCTTTGTACATCTTAAATGACAGCATAGATTGAGGCCCAAGAAACCTACAGTTGGGTTGAGGTGTTTCTATGGTTCTTTCTTGGCTCCTTCCAGTGTAATACACATACTGTACCTTAAAAAGTGAGTGAAGGTTTGGGTGACAACAATATAAAACATATTAGTTCAAACTTTAAAGTGTCTATGCAAGTAACAGATTCACTCTCCCCCAGCAGCAGCACACTCACCTTTTCATCACCTCCTGCTGCTCTGTTCCTCTGCACTCTGTAAGCTATGAGTACCTCAAGTCTTAGCTTACACAGGGCTAGGGAGGGACACTCCCTGGTACTCAGTAATTGACTCAGCACTTCTCCCATAATTACTGAAAGTTGAATGAAGCATTGGGGAGCAAAGAAGAGGTGAATATGTGCTGTTTGAAAAGAGGGAATTAAAGCAAATCTAATGTTCTGCAAAGACAAAGCATGAGTTTGCTTTAAAATAAATGTTTTAAAAGTATCTCATAAGTTCTCATCCTGTAAAACGCGATTCCCCCAACACACTCCGTTTTCTTGAAGGATACAGGCTTGCTATCTGACTAAGAACCTGCGCGCTGTTTCGGAGGATTGCATGTAGTTTAAGGAAACAATCCAGAGCCTCCTCGAGGCGATTTGATTTCTTGTACGTCAAACCTGGAAAAAGATACCAGTACAAATTATTTTTTTTTTATATGGAAATTTAATATACAAAATTTATTATATATTAAGTCCAATACAAATAGAGTAAACAGAAATAAATTAAGCATTTTAAATGCCTACATCACAAAATGAAAGGAAGCTACTCCTACCGAGCATTTTTGGAGTATCACATTGCTATCAGGATTTTTATGGGTACCCTCACACCTTTTGCAGACATCCCTGGTCACCTGGCCAACAGATCTTGGTGTTGGAGAAATCTATCATACCATATAAAAATGGATATTTCTGTCCATTACACTATGGTTCACCCACTAGGCTTGGAGGACGTACATGCTCAGGCAATATAAATGTGGATATCTGTGAAATTATTAGGTGGCTGACACATGTTTCAGTAATCCAAAGTCCGATGTCTATAGTCTTTTTGAAGATATGAGAAGTGCTTTGAAAAGTTCACTTATTATATTGGATGTAGTGACTACATACTGCAAATACAACACAGACATTTAGATGGGAGAGGCGCTTGTTTTGAGGTTTACCCTAGGTTCACACCTAAGCGTTTTCTTCAGAGTTAGCATTTTGCAGTAACGCAGTACAGTCCATTTAAAATGATTTCCTATGGGACATGTTCACACCTGTGCGGTTTTTATGCATTTTGCAAAAAAAAAAAAAAAACCTCAAAAAAAACAAAAAACGCATCAAAAAACGGCAAAACACAAGTGCAAAAATGAAAAACAATGCAGAAACAGCTCAAAAGCAACCTGCATATATGTGAACCTAGCCTAAAGCAGGCCATACATGGGTCGAATTCCGAACGTTTTTCACAAATTTTCCAGCATGCCCGATAAACGAAATGGGGAGGAACCATGAAAATCAGCTGGTGCCATTGCCCCACTAACAGAGCGAAAATCGCCTGATTATTCTTAGGTCTGATTTTCAAACGACAAATCGTTCGAAAATCCACCCATGTATGGCCGGCCTTAGACAGGGTGGGAGAGAATCTGTGCCAGGTGGCCTTTCCCCCACTAGTTATAGCAGCATAGAACCCACTGCAGTCATTGTCCAAGTATTCAAGCAGCTGTGGGTGTCACAGCTCAGCTGCTTCAATACAATAGCTGACAGAAGATTTTTCTCCATCCATACGGTTTACCGTGTATGGAGAAATCTTTTCAAACTGAAGAATGATAGAAATCTATGTGTGAACAGCTAGCCTTAAATCATGTTTACACATGCGATGGCTGGAGAACATCATTTGGCGCTTTTGTAATTTTAGCTTCTGTTTGACCCAAAGAGTTATCACTCTCCCAGTGGGAGGGGAGAAGCAGCTGTGGAACCTTTCAAAGTGAATGGCTGAGCGTGGTCCAAACACTGATGTGGTGTGATGTGCTTGCCCAACAAATCCAAAGTGTACACTGTGCTGTTCTGCTCAGTAAGTGAAATATATGTATGCTCAGCTTTGACTGAGCTTTCACTCAGGAATGCGATGTAAATATAGGATTTCCCATTTGCTACATTTTTACCGTAAAAAAACCCTCAAATCTAACTGAGAAAGATTTTTGTTTAAATAAACCAAGTACGAGGATGCCAACAACCTTTTTTCTGTGCTATGCAAACAAACAAAGTGAGCACACTCCCCCTTTTTCCTCCTCTAATATAATAAAGCTTGTTTCTTAATGGAAAACTCCAGGCACATCATGCAAAAAAATACAAATATACACAATGAATATATATGTGCCTGTGTGCTTTTGGTGCCCCCCCTCTTTATAAGAAAGAATGTCCTATAAAAATGTTATAGAACAGTGGTCTCTAAACTGTAGCCCTTTGTTTGCTTTTATTTGGCCCTTGCATAATTATTGCCCCCACTATCAGCAACATTGAGGCATAGTTTCTGCCACCAATACTGACAATGGGACACTAATCCTCCCACTGACACCAATTATTATTATTATTATTATACAGTATTTATAAAGCGCCGATAGTTCACACTCAGCGCTGTACATTACAAAGGGGGACAGAACATGTGACAGAACAATACCAATACAATGCAAAACATGAGGGGATCGAGGGCCCTGCTCTTTCGAGCTTACAATCTAGAAGGGACGGGATAGTGGTACAGGAGGAGATAGCTGTGGGGGATGGAGTGGTAGGAAGAGTGGAGGAGGTCGGTCAAGTTAGCAGGGGGTAGGCTTCCCTGAAGAGATGGGTTTTCAGGGTGCGCCTAAAAAGGAGGAGAGTAGGTGATAATCTGATGGGTTGGGGAAGGGAGTTCCAGAGGATGGGTGACACCCTGGAGAAGTCCTGGAGGCGGGCATGGGGGTGGCGGAAACGGAGCGGTTGGAAAGGTGAATGAGTCTGGCAGCCGTATTCAGGATCGACTGAAGCGGGGATAGCCAGCGGCGAGGCAGGCTAGTGAGGACGGAGTTGCAGTAGTTGAGTCGTGATATGATGAGGGAGTGGATGAGCTGTTTAGTGGTTTCTGGGGTAGGAACGTGCGTATTTTGGCGATCTTGCGGAGGTGGAGTCTGCACGAGTTTTTAAAGATTGGACTTGGGGCTGGAAGGATAGGTTGGAGTCCAGAATGACACCAAGTACTCTGGCCTGCAGGGCGGGTTTGATATTGGCGTTGTTGGATGTGATGGAGAAGTCAATGGGGGGTGGGGTCCGGGCTGGGGGGAAGACAAGAAGCTCGGTTTTGGAGAGATTCAGTTTAAGGAAGTGGAGCGACATCCAATCTGATATGTCGCTCAGTAGGTGTGTGATTCGGGCAGAGACCGAGGGGGTGAGGTGGGGGGTTGAGAGATAGATTTGTGTGTCATTGGCATAGAGGTGGTAGTTGAAGCCGTGAGAGTGTATGAGTTGGCCAAGGGAGGAGGTGTAGATGGAGAAGAGAAGGGGCCCAAGGACAGAGCCTTGAGGACCCCAACAGAGAGGGGGAGTGCTATTTCTCCCACTGACACCAATGATGGGGCACTATGCCTCCCACTGATACCAACGATGGGGCACTATTCCTCCTACTGATACCAACTATTTCTTCCATTGACACCAATGATGGAACACTATTCCTCCCACTGACACCAACGATGGGACACTATTTCTCCCTCTGACACTAATGATTGGACACTATTTCTCCCACTGACAAAAATGATGGGGTCTATTAATCTGCCTAATATCAAGGATGGGACGTTGTTTACTTCCACTGATGCAAGGGCACTTTCTTCTCCCACTGGCCACAGTTCAGCCCCCCTAAAGTTTGAAGGACAGTGAAGTGGTCTTTTTGTTTAGAAAGTTTGGAGACCCCTGATCTAGAACATTTTCAGCCTGTAGCAGACAATGAGGACCTTAGTGCTTCTGTAGGCTCTAAGCAGAATATCAGCCATATTACATATGCTGCTGTTCAATCTCCACATATACCTCACATCTTTATACTTGAATTCTGGCAGTTGCTTTTAATTGCAGGTACTGCTGCAATCTGTGGTCAGCAAAGAAACACTAAAGCTGTACATTGATCAAAATTGGTATATGTTGGGAATGATTTATGAAAATTCTATTTTTATGGCAATGGTGCTTGCTTACATTTACTCCTGTCATCGTACCTCTATTGGCAGTCCCGTGCTGTTGCATTGCACTGTAAGAGTGGAGCTTATCTCAGTTTTTCCTCTTTATTGTTCTTATTGGCAGTTTTGTTGATACACTTGCCTACTGTTGTATAATTTTATGTAAAAACACAGTAAAAAAGAAATTAAAAAAAAAATTATCAGGTCCTGTAGGAATTATTTAATTCACTTCTGTTGACAAAAACACATTGGAAAATTTTCCATTGATCAGCATCTGCAGCCACCGATCAGCGTATTCGAACAGCAGCACCAAAGGGGGGGGGGGGGGATTCTTCTATGTGATTTCTTTGTGTGGATAGAGAAAACTTTTATATCTTTTTTTTTTGTTCAGCCCACTGGCTGAATGAAAAATAAATAAATAAAACTCTGTATGGCCAGCCTAAGGGCTTTATTTAGAAGATGGCAATATGGACTTATCGCTGTGTGAAGTAAATACCGTGATGTCCAGCGAACTGTAGTGTTCACCTTCTGCTATAAACAGGCCTCTGCTATGAGTGTGCTATTATGTTGTTTTCAAGTGATTTTTATCCTGATTGGCATGCTCCTAAAACTATTATGAAGCATGTGTATGCTTGACAGTTACCAAAGTAATACATTTTGGTACTTCATGCCTGTAACACATAATATAGGATAACATAGGTAGAAAGATCTTTGCAGTGTCCTTATTGAAGTGCTTTTGGAAAGCAAAGGAAGATAAGGAAAACATTACTCCTAACTCTATTTGTAGGATGCATTATACCCCATTTCTACTTAGCTAAATATTATTAGTAGCCTTGTATTCCAGTTATACCGTTACCTAAAAACTGGTGTACCTTTTTGCCAAACCACTGAGCTATTTCGCTTCCTGCATTGGCACATTTTGAATTTATCGAATTCAAGAGGGAGGTCAAGATGGCTCAATGTTCTCGGTTGAGTGAGCCAATGCTTTACCATATTGTTGTAATGTGATGGTTGTAATGTGAAATGTGATGCATGTATTCAATTTTTTCTCTTACTACCTAACAAAAAAAAATGAATTGTATATATATATATATATATATATATATATATATATATATATATATACACACATACATACATACACACACACATAATAAAATGGAATGACACGGGGAAAAAGTATTGAACAAGCTAACTGAAATATATTTAATACTTGGTACAAAATGCTTTGTTGGTATTGACAGCTTAAGGATGCCTCCTGTATGGAGAAACTAGTCGCATGCATTGCTCAGCTGTGGTTTTGGCCCATTCTTCCACACAAACAGTCTTAAAGTTTTGAAGGTTCCATGGGCCTCTTCTATGAACTCAGATCTTTAGTTCTTTCCACAGATTTTCTATTGGATTCAAGTCAGGCAATTGGCTGGGCCATTCTAGCAGCCTTATTTTCTTTCTCTCCCCACACCATGATGTCCCTAACTCCAAACTTCACTGTTGGCATGGTGTTTTTTGGGGTGGTGTGCACTGCCATATTACCTCCAAATATGGTGTGTATTATGGACTCCAACGAGTTCAAGTCTGGTCTCATCTGACCAGACTAAATTCTCCCAGTAATTCACAAGCTTGTCTAAATGTTGTGCAGCAAACTTTAAACGAGCTTCAACATGCTTTTTCTTCAGCAATGGAGTTTTGTGTGGTGAACTTGCATACAGGGCATGGCAGGTGAGTGCATTACTTATTGTTTTCTTTGAAACAATTGTACCTGCTAATTCCAGGTCTTTCTGAAGCTCTCCACAAGTGGTCCTTGGCTCTTGGACAACTCTTCTGATAATTCTTTTCACTCCTCTGTCAGAATGCTTGCGAAGAGCACCTGGTAGTGGCTGGTTTATGGGAAATTATGTTTTTTCCACTTCAGGATTATGGCCCAAACAGTGCTCACTTGAACATTCAGAAGTTTAGAAATCCTTCTGTAACCAATGCCATCAGTATGTTTTGCAACAATGAGGTTGCAAAGGTTTTGAAAGAGCTCTTTGTCTTCACCCATCATAGGATGTTTTTGTGTGACACCTTGGTAATAAGACACCTTTTTTTAGGCCATCAGTTGAGACTGGACCAGCTGATAATAATATGCACTGACAAGGGGCACGAATGCTTTCCAATTACTAATAGATTTCAACTGGTGTCTTGGCTTTCCACGCCTTTTTGCACCTCCCTTTCTTCATGTGTTCAATACTTTTTCCCTGTGTCATTCCATTTTATTACACATAACTTCATTTCTGAACTTACTTGTTTTGGTTTCTTTGTATGTTGTTACCGACATGTGGTGAAAATTTCATGTCAATAGCACCTTTAAAAATAAATGTACCTAAAAAAATGGTGACGTGCTCAATACTTATTTTACCCACTGTGTGTGTATATATCCTCTACATATTCGTAAAAGCACACAGGCACAAAGTAAAAGAAGGCAAGTCAGACTAAACAGTTTTCAGTATCCTTACCAAGGTTATATAGAGCTTCTGTGCAGGATGAGTCATTCCTCAAAGCTTCTTTAAAATATTCTGCTGCTTTTTCATAGTCTCCAGTTATAAAGACAGCATTTCCTTTATTGGTTAGTGCTAATGGATTGTATCGGTCTGAGGTCACTGCTAAATCTGCATACAGGTCTGCCTGAGTGTTCTCATTTTCCTGCAGGAAATGAAAACAGTAGTCAGTACCATCAAAAGTGAAATACAAGCAGAAAATAAACTCTACAGAATGCATTTTTTTCAATGAGTCAGCAGACCTGTATTGTGAGAAGAATTAAAGTCCTAAGCTCTTTGGGTCCAGAACATTTGGAGGAGCTGCGTTTCTTCAGCAGTGACATGCTGAAGGATAGAGCACAGGAAATGTAGCCACAGATAGGTGGAAGTCTTCTTGAGAATGGTGGTAAGACACCTGCCTGTCTTCAAAAGCTCCAGGCTTTGTAACAATGTACTGTGTGCTGCCAGCAACCCCCACATACAGCGTTCATTAACAAAGCTATAACATCAGAGCTATATTTGTTATCATCACCTGCAAGCCACAGCTTGGTTGGCTCTAATCCACCTAACCCTCTTCTGGACAAGGGATAGATCTCAGCTTAGTTCCCGTCTAAGCCTACAGCCCTAATATAAATGCATTCTGAACATGGAAGAAAGACTTATTTAAAGGATACGTTCACCTTCTGAAAAAAAAAAAAAAAATTTAAAAAAAAAAATGCACATTTTTTTGCAGGTAAAAAAAAAATTTACTTTTTTTTTTCTTGGGAGCCTGTAAAGCATTGCACCCACGATCAGAAGATTGCAAGTGCACTGCCATGCTCTTGCAGACTGTCTGCCCATACCTCTGATACCAGCAGGCAGTTACTCAAGTCCAGGAAGCTCAACAGACTATGAGAGCGCTCACCACTATCTTCGCAGTTCATTGAGGACTACAAGCTACCAGCAGCACCAGCTGATGGTACTAGTAGGCATTTATTCATAGGAAACTGTGAATGAATAAAGCGGCCATGTGGGTGGAGCCCAACACTGCCGAGTTATTTTCAAACCGTGATAGCGGGTGTGGGGAGAAGATCCCCCACCTGCTGTCACGGGGGAACAGACTGCAGCTGCTGGAGTATATTACATGTTCCACCCCATAAACGGGTGAAACATGTAACATGTTTCAAAAGGTGAACTTATCCTTTAAGAACAGATAACATGAAAAACATTTTTTCTGTGTTTCTGTTTAAGTTTGTCATAAAATCAGAGAAAAACTGTTAATCCTTTATCACATAAAAGTGTATGATAATGTATTTCAGTGTGCCTTATCATGCAGTATTGTTTACAGTATATCTAAACACAGGAACAAAAATATAATATATTACAGTTTACCAGTCCATATGTGTCATGGCTACATTAGTTCTTTCACTGCTCCTACACACAGAGAGATAGAAGAAAAAAAGGATCTAAGGATCGGTAATCTGTAATATGTTACATTTTCGTTTCAGGGGTTAGGTGAACTTTAGGTCTATGGGCCACTGTAATGCAAGTTAACACTTTTAACTGCATTGTTGGATAGTCTAAATAGTCTATATATATTCGATCTCCTATGATAGCCTCTGTGTTAGCCCATTAAAAAAAAAAAACAACAAAAAAACCGCAAGAACACAAAAAAACATGCATTATATCACTGGAAAATGTGCAGAAGTGAAAGAGTTTAAGTTGATAAAATAGCTTTAAATGGTTAGTAAAGTGCTTGATTAGCGGTGTATAAGGCATGGCAAAACTTTTAGACCCTCTGTAAAGTTTAGGTTGCAGCTGGGACAATTACTTAGACAGTGTGCATCTACAGACACACACCTCCATGGCTGTCAAATTGGGACCAGTGGCTATGTCTATGCAGCCGCTGCGTCCCAATAGAGATTACTGGGACTGCCTGTTTGCAGACGAGCGGAAAACCTGTGCATCCTGTACGGGCAAAGAAAGCCCTTCACAATGGTGTACGCATAAATACACTTGTGTGATTGAGGCCCTAGAGAATTGCTTTCACTTTGGTGAAATGTTATCTTTTTTCCTGTCCCCACGGACAATGAAATCCATCAAACCAGACCAAGACAGTAAAAAAATTAACTGATGGATATAGAAGGTTCAATCAAATATACAGTGTACACCCTAGGTACACCAATCATATGAGTATTATCTAACTACTACAACACTACAACATTGGGTCAGACAACCTACCTAAACAGACCCAAGAGTGGAGAGATCATCCTAGCCTCTTACCAACTCTATAGTTAAGAGTCCCCCCCGTGCTTATTGACTTTTTTTCTTACTTTTTTTGTTGTTTATTTTTACCTCTTTCTCATCTGTTTATACTGTACCTTGTGTTTATGTAACCTACCATCATTATTCTTTAATAAAAACTGGATTTGTAAAAAAATGTTTTCAGTGTAGATACTAGCATCTCACTTACCAAGAAGTAAAGAAAGGAGAGATTGGTTGCTGCTGCGCTCTTCACTCTGCTGTCTTTTTTCTCAAACATTTTTAAGGTTTCCACAGCCTGGATATGAACGATGACATATTTAATCATTGTACAACATATAGAATACTCATCAAGCAAGTTCCCACTACAGGCCACAAAATGAACTGTAAAAAGCAGGAGATCAAAACGTCATGCCCCAGCCGAATCTATAATTCTCCATGTTTAAATCTCCTGTTTGACTTGCAAATTAAACACTGAACACAGCAGGGTATTACATTTTCTGTGGACCTAATTATACATATATTTGCTTGACTTGGTCTTAGGTTACCTCTCAACCTGTCTACAATCAGGCTTTAGGGAAAGATTGGCCTCCCTGTCCTGGCCGGTTCAGCTACTGAAGAGAAGTGATGGCAATCCAACAGTGCACTAGATACATGTGTGCATGTAAGCTCTCCTCATATATATGTATATATTGTTCTGTTCCACTCAAAATCCAAGCATTTGTTTAGATCTATCAACTTTGGACAAATCTGTGTAAGGATTAAATCTGTTAAAGTGTGCATTTGTTTCAGAATACTAACTCTTGTTGCAGCACAATTGCAATGCATGCACTCATAGGTGCCTGCATATACCTCTCATCATCTTCAGTGTCCCAGGAGCCCTAAAAACGTAGAAGTTCTTATCTTTTCTGAATATTGTGAGGACTACCCCACTCTAAAGATCGAGGTAAATTTTCCTTTGCATGAGTCAGGCTGGCTGCCACAATGACTATGTGTATAGTAGCCTTTGCAATCACCCTTGCATCTAGTCTACATACTATGTTCTAGTGGTCAAAGGCAGTACATACCACATCGTACTGACAGGGTAAAGCAATCAGAGAAGAAAAATAACATTATTACAGAAGGAAGAAAACAAATGAGAATAACAAACTATAATAATATCTGAATTATATACTACATACACTGTTTATGGGTCTGTTAAAAAAACTGGTATTTCAGTTTTTGAAAAGAGCTGTCAGGTTGCATTGCTTGATTGCTACTTTTTTCTTTAGGGGACTAAATCTGTGAGATTTCTCGGCTTGAAGTCGAACTCTAGTTTTGTTTTTTTTAATAATGTGCCTTACACCTTTAAAAATAAAAGCAGCTTTTGCTGACATATTTACCTTATATTTGGCACTGTCCTTCTGCAGGCTTTCCTCTCTGATATTCAGCACTGCTCGTCTTTTGGGCTGAACGACACCCAGCATCATCCAGTGCTTGTGAATTCAGGCTGTCAATTAAACTTCCAATGGGAGTGTACTATCATCTATCATGGGCTCACAGTACTCCTGAAATAGCACTCGCACATCATTACCTGGGTGCCGCTTAGTCCTAAAGAAAGGAAACCTCACTGCCAGTACCGAGGAAGAAGAGAAGGACATCACTGGAGTAGCATGAAGATTGGGGGAAAAAAAAAGTACTTTTTTTTTTTTTAATAGATCAAAGGGGGGCTTCAGGGAGAGGGAAGATAGAGTAAGCTTTGAATTTCTAGGTTAGTATGCCTTCTGTAGTCGGGTACATCACTTTACGTGATGGCTTTCTTATTTTATACCAAGAAAAATATAGCACAGGAAAACCAAGACTCTCAGATAACATTGTTCTAGGTCAGCATTTTAATCCCAGATGAACCCCTAAAATAATTTTCAGATCTTTCAGAAACCATTGCCTAAAACAATTCATCAAAGGTCAGTAGGAAGACTGCCCCTTACATTTGTGGTCAGTGAAAAGAATGCTTCTTACATTGTTGGTCAGGGGTAAGAATGCAACCCCTACAGTGGTAATCAGAATGCAACCCATACAGACAACTAAGTTGTTTAATATGACTACCTTTAGGTGAGGAAATTCCTATTTTGAAAAAAGGAGAATACAGCACCTTCATGCTTCATGACCCATGACCCTCTGTCTGGACAGATTGATTGATTGGGCTGATTGGTTCTGTGCTGATCACATGCCCCCTCCACATGCTTTTATGGGAGTCACTGCCTCCATCAATCAAGATGTGACATCCCTCTCGCTGTGTGTTTTTAGGTTACTGGACATGGAGGAGGAGAGAGGGACTGGGTTGTCATTTAGGATCTGTATACACTAATGTGTGATGTCAAAGTCAAGTGACCTGAATAGCTGCAATCATAGAGAAAATGTTCCCCCTAGCAATACACACAACACAGAGCATGTGCAGACTTGCCACTGCTGCTCTGTACAATAGGATGATAGATTGTTACATAGTTAGTCTGGCTGAAAAAAAGACAAATGTCCAATCAGTTCAACCATAAACAAAAGCTTTAATCCTTTACCCACAGTTGATCCAGAGGAAGGCAAAAAAAACCCCAGCAAAGCATGGTCCAATTTGCTCCTGAAGGGAAAAAAATTCCTTCCTGATCCCCCAAGAGGCAAATCGGATATTTCCTGGATCAACTTTACCTATAAATGTTAGTATCCAGTTATATTCTGTGTACCTAAGAAAGAATCCAGGCCTTTTTTAAAGCAATCCACTGAGCTGGCCAGAACCAACTCTTGAGGGAGTCTATTCCACATTTTCTCAGCTCTCACTGTGAAGAAACCTTTCCGTGTTTGGAGATTAAATTTCTTTTCCTCCCGACGTAAAGAGTGCCCCCTTGTTCTCTGTGATGACCACAGGGTGAATAGCTCTACACCGAGTTCACTATATGAACCACTGATGTATTTATACATGTTGATCATATCCCCCCTTAATCTCCTCTTCTCAAGAGAGAATAAATTCAGTTCCTCTAATCTTTCCTCATAGCTGAGCTCCTCCATGCCTCTTATCAGTTTGGTTGCGCTTCTGTGTACTTTCTCAAGTTCCCCAATGTTCTTTTTGTGAATTGGTGCCCAAAACTGAACTGCATATTCCAGATGAGGACTTTGTACAGGTGATTTGTACAGGGGTAATATGATATCTCTCTTTCTCTGGAGTCTATACCTCTTTTAATACAAGAGAGGATTTTGCTCGCTTTAGAAACCCTCTTTCTTTCTTTTTTCATTCTTTCTCTGTTTTGGTGTGACTGGCCTGCTGCATTTAGTTGTTATAGTCAGTTACAGTAATGTTTTGTAATTTATGTGCCATTGATAGCCTCTGTGGGCGTACCTTTTGCCCTGTTGGTATTAGAGCACTGTTTTTCCTTTTTTTTTTTTTTTATTTTGCATTTTTTTTATCTGTGCAATTGATAGCCCCTGCGTGGGCGTGTTTTATTGCCTCTCTTTTATACTGTTTAAAAATTAATAAAAACCATTGAAATAGAAAAAAAGTAAGGATCCCAACACTGAACCGTGGGGTACACCACTGACAACCCTAGACCATTCAGAGTATGAATCATTAATCACTACTCTCTGAATATGATCTTTTAGCAGTTTTCTAACCATTTACATACGGTTTTTTTCCAAGCCAGTAGACTTTACCTTACACATTAGCCATGTGTGGGGAACTGTGTCAAATGCTTTTGCAAAATCCAAGTATACCACGTCCACCACCACCCATCTGTCCAAGGTTTTGCTCACCTCCTCATAAACAGAAATCAGATTGACAATTGTCTTTCATGAATCCATGCTGTCTGTTGTTTAAAATATGTTTTTCCAGCAAGAACTCATCTATGTGGTCTTTTATAAACTCTCCAGTATGTTCCCAACTATAGAAGTTAAACTAACAGGTCTATAATTACTTGGTAAAGATTTTGACCCGTTTTTTAAATATTGGCACCACATTGGGCTTACGCCAATCCAGTGGTACTATGCCAGTCGTTAAAGAGTCCCTAAAAATTAGAAACAATGGCTTTGAAATGACAGAGCTCAATTCTTTAAAGACCCGTGGTGTATGCCATCCAGTCCAGGTGCTTTGTTCACCTTTATTCTGTCTCAATATTTTTAGATCATATCAATTGTGTGCCAATGTGGATCATCTGGAGCTTTGTCAATGACCATGCCCATTATGGACAAGAGCTCCCCCATGCTCCTTTGTATACACAGAGCTGAAGAAGGTATTTAATAAATGTGCCTTCTCTTTGCCCCCAGTCACCCACGCTAGATTATTTTGTCTTGGGCCTACATGCTCGGACTGGACCTTTTCACTATTAATATATTTGAAGAATTTTTTGGGGTTGGTCCTGCTATCTTAAGCAGATTGGGGCCGGTATAAAAAGAAGAGGATTAGAGAAAAGCAAAATCAACCAGTCTTTTTACACACCGTGGAGGGTTAACCTCTTAGGTTCCACAGCAAGTGTAGCAAGGATACTTTCCTCAGGGATATTCCATTTGTATCACCCTACACCCAGTACATGTAGTTCCGGGTGCTGGGCAGGTAGTTTTTGTAAACCTTTAGCCCTGCTGCGGGCAAGCAGCAGGGCTCACCTGTCAGGTGGAAGCATTCAGGCAGCCACGTTGCTGCCGATTGATTCGACACAGCCCACAGTGCCAGTCTCCTCGCGTACCTCCGTCTTTCCCGCTATGTCTCCCTGGCTTTGCTTGCCCATCTGCGGGCCTGAGACCAGTTCAGCGGGTGTCAGCATGTAGAAGGGATGGAGGAGAGGGGTCACATCCGCTCTCCTCTTCTTGTCCACTTCTGGGTTCCCATTGACAGATTTCCTGGCCATCAAGGCAAAGAAAGAATGTAATGCAGTGTGATGTGCATTGCATTACATCCACTGGAAAACAGGGGAGACATGCAGGGTCATTTAGACCTTGAATGTCTCAAAAAAAGAGAGCCTGTCACCAAAAATCATCACATCGGGGGCATTTTGTCCTTTATGTGATGAAGAAAAAAAAAAAGTTAAGCAAAAAAAATTTTTTTTTACTGTAAAAAATTAAAGTTACACCCAAGCACATAATCCCCCCTCCAAAAAATATTTTGAGGCTCCATTACCCCACATATAAGCACATAAAAACATAAAAGCACACGCCAGGGCACCTATGCATGAAAACGCTGATTGCAAAACACATTATGTACACCATAAAAAGTAGTGCAGCGCTAAGGGTAGTATTTATAAAACAGATATGAGTCCACTGCAAGTCCAGTTCATGAAAACGTGTCAAGTGACAAGTGGGAATTCAATGTTGGTGATCCGTGAGGAAGTGGCTGAAAAACGCACTCACCAGAAAGAAGACATATAAATGCAGTATATATCCAAAGTTCATGGATCCTCAATCCAGAAGAAAATAAAGCTGATCCGGTCACAGAAAAGTGGATTCCTCCTTTATGGATGCAGCAACAGATCCTCCTCCTCCCAGTTAAGTGTAGGATTCCAAAGTCACGGTTCTGCAAGCAAAGTGCTCCTTCACTTCAGGGTGATCTGGAGCTACGCCAAAACGGACCAAGCCAAAAGGGACTGGCAGTTTCTCATATATATCCACCACTGCTTGTGAGTGGTGCTTTAACAGGTGTTGAGCGGTGTAAAATCCAGCAGGACCACTGCCAACAATGCAGATCAGTAAAGGGTGTGCTGCTGAGGTCAGTGTTCTCCGCAGACCCAGACATCTTGTGGTTGGCAGGCTGAGAATTCCGCCATACACAGCACGCCGACCAATCCCGTACAACCAGCTACAGCGACGGGTTATGTATACCGTGCACGCCAGAGAGAGAGCTATAATTCTAGGACCAGACCTCCTCCGTAATGCTAAACTGATGACCTATAAGGGGCTTTAAATGTGTCACCTATAGAAAATATAGGGTACTAAAGTTTGTCACCATTTCACGAGCAAACGAAAATTTAAGGTTGGACATGTTGGATATCTATTTACTCGGGGCAACCTTGTCTTTTATAATTTACCAAAAAATAGATAATTTATTTTTTGTTTTGTTTTGTGCCCTAAACTTAAGTGTATTTTTTACCCCGCAGGTATTGTACAATGACTTTTTAAACTGAAAGAGGTTTTTTCATGACTTAAAAACTCAAAATAAAGCACAAGTGATTTTACCAATATGTGTTTATGGATTCTGTGCCTCCAAAGTCCATCTGCACTTCCTCCCCTTGCTTTTTCCCTATTTGTCTGGCTTACCTCTGTGCTTGCCAACAAGGGTTTCTCCACCAAGTACTAAGTCATGTTTTGCTTGGGGATCAAATATTTATTTTACTCACTGAACTGCAACTAAATTTATAACATTTTATCGTGTTTTTTTCTGGATTTTTGGTTGATATTCTGTCTCTATCATTTATAATACACCTATGATAAAAATTATAGACCCTTCATTTCTTTGTAAGTGGGCAAACTTACAAAATCTGCAGGAGATCAAATCATTATTTTCCCCACTGTATGTTCATTAAAGAATAATTCAGCTTATGTTTCCAGTACAATTAGTATAAGAACCAGAATATATATTTATATTAGCTTTGTGCCCCAAACAGTAGTAATCAAATTGAGAGAGGATCAGCAATGTTAGCCAATCAGGTTCCACTGCATTGCACCATGTTGTCAATCTTAGGGTCTGTGTTGTTTTTGTTCAGCCCAGAAGTGCTTTTTTCCCCCCCATACAAGTTTAAGGCATTAGAAAAGCAGCTTGAAGCAGGTCATCCGTAGGTCAAATACACCTATTAAAGTGGTTGCAAACCCAGACATGAAATATGAAAAAAATATATCCCTCTATAGTGTGTACATGTCTCAATCCAGAGCACTAAGTGTCAGCCTCATTCCTCTGCTGTCAGCATGAGTCACTTCTGGTGCGTTTTCCTGACAACAAGAGAAAAATGGTGAGGGCAAGGACACAGCCTGTGATTGAAGGCCTCAGTTCTGTTCCAGTGTGCTATGTAAAGGGGGTGTGTCTAATCAACTCTCAGAGCTCTCCGCACTGATGTAACTTCAGCTCTCCATTCCCTGTTTTTCAGAGATAGATCCTGTGTAAATTCTGCACTTTGAATGGATGTAGGGAAAAAATTGTGGTAGATAAAACAGGTATCACTTCTTTGGGTATATATAAGTGTTTACAACCACTAATGAATTCTGAATGATCTCATTAGCTTCTCAAACTGATGTCAAAGGCAAGCTTCTTTTGCCCATTCACCAAAGCCCATCAACACAAGCCCAAAGGGAAAGGAGTGAACAGGGTAGTGACCATATCAGTCTGCTGATGCTCTTTCATTGAGAGGAGCAGTCAGGTCAGCGACTAAGCTGTATTGCTTTACTGCAGTGAGGTTACACATCTGACTATGGTGTCTAACATCGAACATTGGATAGCAAGGTCAGCTAAACAAAGTAACAAATTGTTTAAAAGGTAAGACAGTTCATATGTATATATATAAAGTCAACTAACAGAAATCACAATATGACACAAAATCATTAATTCTAACTAAAGCATCTGTGACCCTATTTTTTAGTTTTATTTAGCGGTCATGTAACAGCAGCTGTGGAGAGAGAGAGTCGGGGGGGGGGGCTGCATTGTTAGAAGGTGAGTGATACAGCGGAAGGAAAAGCTCCTCCAGCTCAGTTCCCAAGGAAGGTGCCTCTTCTGCCTGTGCCTTGGCTCGGCCTTGGTACCATGCACTACCAAAACCATGAAAGTGATCATTTGGAAAGTAACAAAGCATTCAGATAGAAGTCAAAGAAAGAACGATGTATACCTGGGTAAAGTTCTTCTGTCTCAGATATGTTATAGCTTTATTAATTTCCAGATCATTTGCCAGTTCCACATACTGCGAAGTCTTCACAGCTTCAACACACCTGCAAAAATAAGTAAAACAAATATAAATAGGTATGTGTCATTACACACACTGCAAATATGGAGACTGTTATATAAAAAAAGACAGTTTCCAGGCTATCATGCTGATGTCAAATTTTACATTTCTGATCCAGGTTTCCCCAATCTGCAGTAAGTGACACAAAAGGTATTGAAGCCATTTATCAAAATGCTAGTCAGACAAGCAGCACTATCGGAAGGAGGGCAGCAATGGTAAATCCCTGTATTTTTCTCAGTACAGGTTTTTTTTTTTCCAAAGCTGAACACTGGGCTTACAGCTAAATACACAGACAAAAATATATATTTGAGCTGTTTTAACTACCTAGAAATTTGTATTTCTGTCCAGCCATTATAAAAGTGGTATTAAACCCAAAAGAAAACATTTTATTATATTGCAGTTTACCAATTCTTAGATGTGTTGGCTGCATTAGTTTTCCTTTTTCGGCTTTATTTCAATTTTTTCAGCTGGTGATCCTGCCAGCAAGTCTGTTTTTCAAAAGAACAAGCTCTCTTGCAGATTGTATCAATAACAGGGATGATATAATCCATTTACCACTGACAGGTGTGCTTACAATGGTCAGCTTTTATTTATTTATGGAAAACCTTTATCCCAAAAGAAAAAACAGTTTGCTGTAACTCATTATAAATTATGAGCTGGAGTTTGATTTCATTGTGTTAGTGTATCTAAATTTGCTAACAAATCCAACAATCCCCTCCCCCCAGACTGATGGTTGCTGCTGTCCAAAGGTGACTGTGACTTTACTACAGGCCAGGTGTATTACTGTGCAGATCACCAGGTGAAAACAGAGGGAAACAAGCCTAAAAAAAAGAAAACTAATGCAGCCACCACACTGAATGATTGGTAAACTGCATAATATTATATTTTTGGTTCACAGTTCAGTAGGCTGTGAATAGAGATACATATGTGAAAAGAAGCCTATAATTCCACCTGCTGGTTCAAAAGAGGTGTAAAACAGTAATATACAGTAGTCATTTTTTATTAGAATATATACAGTATATATGTTAACACAATTTTTTTTAATTCCCGATTTTAATAAATCAGTAAAGTTTAAAGCCTATTGCACACAGGAGTAAAAAATGCTGAGTTTTTTTTAGCTGATCTGAAATGAGATGCATTGTTGTCTATGGGACATTGCACACAGCTGAGTAAAGACCAGTAATACGGCGTTGAGTACAGAGTGGTAAAACAAAATTAGTGCAGTAATTTACTGGCGTGTTTACTCGTTAAGGCCCTTTGCACACGGACATCATAATTTACTGATGTTTACTTAGGAACTTGTGATGCCCGTTTGCAAGGGGCCACAATACTGGCAATGCAGAAGAATTTTACTCATCTATATGCCTACACACCTTTACTCACCTATATTCAACATTACACAGGTTGGCCCCTTGCACACGGGAGTCACAAATTCCTGAGTAAACACCAGGAAATGATGACGTCCGTGTGCAAGGGGGCTAAAACCACTATTTCTAGAAGTACAGGTGTACCTCGGTTTACGAACGCCACGGTTAATGTAATTTTCAGTTTATGAATGAAAATCCGTTGAAAACGATGGTTCAGTTTACAAATTTTTTTTTGCAATACGAACAGATTATTTGGTTTTCAATGCATTTACAATTTTTTTTTTAATCATGTCCCTGTACAGTACTGTCTTTAAAGTGAACTTTATAAAGAGTTTTAAACAGATAAAAACTTTTTTTTCACTTTTTTTCTGACCTCCGAAACGGATTAATTGGTTTTCAATGCATTTACAAATTTTTTTTTAATCACGTCCCTTTATGCCTTTAAAGTGCAGTCAATGAAGAGTTCTGAACAGATAACTTTTTACTTTTTTCTGACCTCCGGAACAGATTAATTGGTTTCCAATACATTTACGAATTAATTTTTAATCATGTCCCTGTACAGTATTTATGCCTTTAAAGTGCACTTTCTAAAGAGTTTTGAACAGATAAAAGACTTTTTTTTTACTTTTTTCTGACCTCATTGGTTTTCAATGCATTCCTATGGGAAACCGCGTTTCGGTTTACAAATTTTTTGCAATTAAATTCGTAAACCGAGGTACGCCTGTACTTAGTCACATTCAACCGGTCTAGTTCTCTAATGCTTCCAACATTAAATAACAAGTCAAGTTGATTGTGACTAACTAGTACAAGGTATACCATGATCTTCACAGGCCCTACATACTTCCTTTATTATACTAAAAAACACAGAACATGTTTCACTGGGCTTATTTTACAATGTTTAAAAACATCTTACCAGTCATTGCCAACATCAAAAGAGTGTTCAATAACTGGAGCAATCAGTTTGGCTGCAGTCATTATGTATTTTTCAGCCAATGCTTTCCTAGAAGAAAAAAGAAAAGAAAAAAAGGTCCCTGTGACTTTAAGGTAAATAATAATTACTTTGAAAATGAAGGCATGTATAAAGCTGTACGCCTACAGCAAGGTACGTCTTGCATGCCATCTTGCATTCTTCACATTACTGCGTCTCTGTCAGACACTCTACGCATCTGAAGCTGCTTCTCAGAAGAGGCACAGAACAGAATCAGCTTACTTTCATAAAAGAGAACCAGCTTGTAAACTGCACTATTTGAAACAACAAACAGAAAAAGGTCAAAACTAAAACAAGAGGCACCCAGTTGTTTATTTCACATTTCGTAGTCCACTGCAATGAGAAATTCAGAGACACAGAAAGCTGCCCATGTTGTTATGGAGCAGACAATCTTGTTGCCAAAACCTTTAATTTTCCTTTTTAGATACAGCGTAGAAGAGTTAGAACCATTTCAGGTTTCTAATGTTGTATGTGTCTTTAGGGAGATATTTCCTCACTTCCTATCCCAGGGTGACAACCCTCAACTCTCATCAAAATGTCACTTTGGAAGGTTTGCAATGATTGCACCACATTCCAAATGTTGCATAGAAAGATAGTACAAGTGGTAGGAATGGGGTTTTTTTTTTTAGGTGCTATAGTTCTAACCAAACAAATTAACAATTAAAATATCAAAGTTTTATTACAGCAAGTATTTAAAAACAATAAAAAATGTGCAAAGGTAATTATAGTGATGCGCGATACACAGTATACTGATGTTGGAGAAATTCTTTACATCCAATCTTGCGCAGTTTCTGGGTTCGCTCCCCACGGTGGATTTCTCCTTTTTCTACCATGGTGATGCCTCTTGCATCGTGATCCTACAGCCTGTGAGGTTAATGTATGGTTCAGCGGGTGTGATGTTTTCTTGACGGCATTAGTATTTTCTGGTGATTCCTTTTGTTATATCTTACATGAATATCTTTATATTCTCATTAGTATCCTTGACACATGTATACTTCCAGAAGAAGCCAGATTGTGTGTACAGGATTTCTCCAACATCAGTATACTGTGTATATAGCACATCACCATAACTACCTTTGTACATTTGTTATTGTTTTAAAATACTTGTGACGGGAGTCACTTTGGGTGGGGGGCCCATGTAACCCAGCTCACTTTCGAGAGGTGGGGAGACCCATGTCTCAGCTCCCCATATCCCTCTTATGTGTAATTCACCCTGTGCCTGTTAGGGGTACAGGGTGATCTGTCCTAATATTGGGGTCAGGGGTTTTGTTTGATGTTATGTGGTTGCATCCCATTGTTGTATTGTGTGTCTGGCTTGGGAGCCAACTATTATGGGATGTATGTGTTTATGTGTATTGGCTTGGTGGGGGGTGTCTCCAGCAGCCCTTCCTGCTGATGGGACTGTCTGTTGGTGTGCTCTTGTTACTAAATGTAGATTTTCCCGCCTGTTTCATCATGCAGGGAGGGGGAATTGTCCCCTTGAGTGTATATATCTTGTATCTGTGTTAAAATAAACTAGTCTACCTTCTGGCTTACTTCAAATCTGGTGTCGTCAGGATCTTGGGGTAACAGTAGCCAGAGTCACTGGTCTTGTGTTCCAGAGCCTGAGAAGCAGCTTCTTGACGGAGATACCCAGTCGTGGGTGTCTGGGGTCTGTTACATTACTGTATTAAAACTTTCTGATATTTTAACTGTTAAAGTGGTTGTAAAGGCTCAAGGTTTTTTATATTTACCTTCATGCATTCTATGCATGCAGCTAAAGAACCTTGTGTGTGTAGCATCCCCCGCAGCTCCCTCCAATACTCACCTAAGCCCCCTCTGGATCCAGCGATGTGCACTGGAGTCTAAGCTCTCCCGGAACTCCCTCTTTTCATTGGCTGAGACAGAAGCGGGAGCCACTGGCTCCCACCACTGTCAATCACAGCCAGTGAGCCAATGAGAAGAGAGGGGGCGGGGCAGAGCCACGGCTCTGTGTATGAATAGACACACGGAGCGGCGGGTGTCCCCATAGCAAGCTGCTTGCTGTGGGGGCAACTGACAGGAGGAAGAGGCCAAGAGCGCTAGCAGGGGACCCAAGAATAGAAGGATCCGGGCTGCTCTGTGCAAAACCACTGCACACAGCAGGTAAGTATAGACATGTTTGTTATTTTTTCTTTAAAAAAATAAGTCTATAGAATCACTTTAACTTGTCTGGTTGGAACTATAGCACCTACAAAATTCCATTGCTGCTACTTGAACTATCTGTCAATGTTCACTTCAATGTACTGTATCGATGAAACAGAGGATTGCCACCCAAGGATAAGGAATAGTATTAGGATTACAGAACAACCCCCTCGCCAAATCTCTATAACCTGATGGGAGGTGTACTGTGGTTACTGATAGGACTGCAGGGTGCACAAGTCAGCCTAAATGTTAGAAGAGATATAGGAAACACTTTCAAATGTACTGAACAGACCAAGAGGGAAAAAATAATAATAATATTGCTAGGGTTTACATACGCTTTACACAACTTTGTTGGCAAGGTTTATATGTACAATGGCCTTATTACATAACTCATTAAAATAGATACCTCCTTGAAAATACGAATAATTTTCAGTTTTTCCATTTCCATTCCTAAGGCCTTTGCTAGCAAGGGGTCTATTTATAAATGTTTCACTCAAAATTCACACAGCTCTCACCCGAGATTCATATATTTTTCTAAATTGAGGTCAATTGAAAAAAAAAAAAATGTGAGTGACAGTTTACGCCATAGAAACACAGTCCAGGTGTGTTCCAGGTGCGTTTTTACATGCACGTTTATGACGAGTTTTCGACGCGTTCCGGTTAATTTTTCCCCCCTCTCTTTTTCTTCAACTTAGATAAGGACATGTGTGTTCCGGTACGTTCTTGGTGCATTTGGGTGCACTCCGGTGCGTTTCTGGTGCATTTTATTGCATTGCAGTACAGTTCAGTGCAGAAAAAATGCAGCATGTTCTTTTTTTTCTGGAACTGAAACGTAATGGAACTGATCGCACTGGTGTGAACTATGCCATTGGAAACCATGTAACCTACTATCAATGCATTTTTGATGCAGAAAAAAAATGCACTGGACTGCATTTGGTGTGAACTGACCCTTAATCCTGGGTAAAAAAAACTGTGAATCTTGTACGAAAACATTTATAAGTGGACCCCTAGGGGGAGATTTACTAAAACTGGAGCACTCAGAATCTGGTGCAGCTGTGCATGGTAGCCAATCAGCTTCTAACTTCAGCTTCAAATAAACTTTGAAAATAGGCCTCTTGCACATGGTACTAAATGTTTGAGCAAGTGTTTTTGTTTTTTTTTTAAATGCAATTTCAGGTGCTTGTTTTTAACATATTCGCACTTATCCACATAATTGCGCACATGTGCACGCACAATATATTCTTAGGGAAAATTCATTATTATGTGTATGCTCATCTGCACATATTTGCACATATTTGCGCAGCAGGCGGCATAAATTACTGACCAAAAATGCAGCTTTTCCTATTTTTTTTTCTTACTGAGGAATATGCGGAGCTTATTTACACGCTTGTGTGCAAAGGCACATTGTAAATAAGGATCTACATTTTACCTCAGTAAAAATGCTCTACTGAGCTTTTTCAAGCTGCACGGTGCAAGAGGCCTAAAACCTGGAAGCTGATTGGTTACGATGCAGAGCTGCACCAGTTTTAGTAAATCTTCCCCCTAATGTTTTTTTTTTTTTTTTACTTTGGAGGAAAAGTACTATGGTCATAATCAAATTACCGTTCTTGCTCCATTTGGTGCAGGCTGTCATTTTTAATTGCTTCTATAACAAGATTAGAATGTGGATCATCCTAAAAATAAAGAAATATAAAAATAACTCTGGTAAACGGTGCTGGAAGCCAAAATCAGACTGTAGATATACTGGGTACACAACAATAAAAATATTGCAGGATAAGTAATCCCATAACAGACAATGGGTTAAATAACAATTTGGCTTTTTCTTAAGTAGAGGAAAGCCCATCCCTCCAAGATCCAAGGTCTGTCTGCCAACGGCTGTTATGACGCACCTTACTTCGCTTTATGCATTGGTATTGCCTACCAACCCACCTCCTGCTGGATTCTTCATTTAGATTAGTGGTAATAAACCTCTTAAAATCCACCCAATATTGAATATCTAGGCTACTTTTAAGAAATACAGTAATACAGGTGAAACTCAAAAAATTTGAATATCGTGCAAAAGTTCATTTGTTTCAGTCATGCAACTTAAAAGGTGAAACTAATATATGAGATAGACTCATTACATGCAAAGCAAGATAGTTCAAGCCGTGATTTGTCATAATTGTGATGATTATGGCTTACAGTTCATGAAAACCCCAAATCCACAATCTCAGAAAATTAGAATACTGTGAAAAGATGCAATATTCTAGGCTCAAAGTGTCTTCTCTTCTCTAATCAGCTAATTAAGCCAGAACACCTGCAAAGGATTCCTGAGCCTTTACGTGGTCTCTCAGTCTGGTTCAGTAGGAATCCCAATCATGGGAAAGACTGCTGACCTGACAGTTGTGCAGAAAACCATCATTGACACCCTCCATAAGGAGGGAAAGCCTCAAAATGTAATTGCAAAAGAAGTTGGATGTTCCCAAAGTGCTGTATCAAAGCACATTAATAGAAAAGTTATGTGGAAGGGAAAAGTGTGGAAGAAAAAGGTGCACAAGCAGCAGGGATGACTGCAGCCTGGAGAGGATTGTCAGGAAAAGGCCATTCAAAAGTGTTGGGGACTTTCACAAGGAGTGGACTGAGGCTGGAGTCAGTGCATCAAGAGCCACCACACACAAGACGGATCCTGGACATGGGCTTCAAATGTCATATTCAAATGTCAAGCCGCTCCTGAACAACAAACAAAGTCAGAAGCGTCTTACCTGGGCTAAAGAAAAACAGACCTGGTCTGTTGCTCAGTGGTCCAAAGTCCTCTTTTCTGATGAGACCAACTTTTGCATCTCATTTGGAAATCAAGGACCCAGAGTATGGAGGAAGAATGGAGAGGAAAACACTGCAAGATGCTTGAAGTCCAGTGTGAAGTTTCCACAGTCTGTGTTGATTTGGGGAGCCATGTCATCTGCTGGTGTTGGTCCACTGTGCTTCATTAAGTCCAGGGTCAATGCAGCCGTCTACCAGGAGATTTTGGAGCACTTCATGCTTCCTTCCGCAGACGAGCTTTATGGGGATGCTGACTTCATTTTCCAGCAGGACTTGGCACCTGCCCACACTGCCAAAAGCACCAAAACCTGGTTCAATGACCATGGGATTACTGTGCTTGATTGGCCAGCAAACTCGCCTGACCTGAACCCCATAGAGAATCTATGGGGCATTGCCAAGAGAAAGATGAGAGACATGAGACCGAAAAATGCAGAAGAGCTGAAGGCCGCTATTGAAACAGCCTGGTCTTCCACAACACCTCAGCAGTGCCACAGGCTGATAGCTTGCATGCCACGCCGCATTGAGGCAGTAATTGCTGCAAAAGGGGCCCAAACCAAGAACTGAGTACATATGCATGCTTATACTTTTCAGAGGTCCGATATTGTTCTATGTACAATCCTTGTTTTATTGATTGCATGTAATATTCTAATTTTCTGAGATTGTGGATTTGGGGTTTTCATGAGCTATAAGCCATAATCATCACAATTATGACAAATCACAGCTTGAACTATCTTGCTTTGCATGTAATGAGTCTATCTCATATATTTGTTTCACCTTTTAAGTTGCATTACTGAAATAAATGAACTTTTGCATGCTATTCTAATTTTTCGAGTTTCATCTGTAGGTTTGATTTGATTATGTAGCACACAACAACAGTTCCAGGTGCTGTTGGAGAAGTCTGTCCCAAAGTCATGTTATTCAGCTGGATGGAGTCACACTGTTGCAGGTCAGGAAGACTGGTGTACACAGATAGACAGGGAAGGGATGGCTGTCATTTGCAGGGTATTTTTGTAGGCACCTTGATCCCGGCAAATGAAAATTTGCAGCCATTTAGAAAGTAAAAGTGAAATAGAGAGGGGAGATCTGATCAGATTCCTTAACCAAAAAGAGAAGGTGGTTGTGTGGCTTCTGAAGGGTGCATGACACTTTTTCCAGCCACAGGCGAAACAGAGGCTTGATTTGCACATTTCTTGAGAGTGGCAAATGTCCTGGGATTGCTCTATTATTCACCAGGCTGGGAATCCCAGGTGTTAGGAATGGACTGGCCAGCAATGGTGGGACTCACCTGCCTTTTGATCTGCAGTACCAGGGCTGGCCAGCGGGTGCTCCCAGCAATCAGAGACTCAACCTTTCAGCCAGCTAACACCTGGAACTGATGATGCTGGGGTATTTAAGGGATGGCCAGACCCACAGACTCTGCCTTGGTGTTGTGTTTGTCCTGGGCCCTGTATCTGTCCTGCATCCTGTTGTCCCTCTGCCTGACCCTCTGTACTACGCTGCTTGTTACCTGTTTTGATCTCTGGCTTGTGACCCTGACCATCCCTCTGCCTGACCCTCTGTACTACGCTGCTTGCTCCCTGCTGAACATGGCCTGTGACCCCGACCATTCTCTGCTTGCTCCCCCTGTACCTACCTGCCCAATTGATATTGACCCGGCCTGCCTGACGACGCTTGCTTGTATGTACTGTTATCTGTGGGTGGTTTGGTTTGGTTTGTTTGCACTGTATTATGTTTAGTATTGCACTGCGTTTATGTTTGTATGGTTAGTGTTAATAAATTGTATTGTTTATCACATATCTGAAGTCTGCGTTTCCCTGCATCAGTCACACACCTCTGGTCATACCTGGGAGCCCTGACACCAGGTAAGTCATACAAGAAAGACTGGAAGAAACGGTGTGATCTTTGTAGTCATAAGGAGGTGCTATGCATCCTTTTGTGGCCAAACTACTGGTGGTAAGGAACACTCACATCTTTCAGGAACACTGACATAAGTAAGAGACAAGTTCATTAACATGGAACAGAGCCTACATCTCACAATGGAGACCTGGGAACATGCTAGTAGTTCTAAATTCTACCCAAAATTGAGTATCTAGGCTACTTTTAGGAAACCCAATAATGAGTTTGGGTTGATTATGTAACACACAATAACAGAAACTGTGACTTACGCCGAGTGAGAAATACTTGTCTTCATCGTCAATTCCAAGTGGTGCAGCTATTAGTTTTTGGAAAGCTTTTTTCATTTTGTCACGATCTCCAATAGCAAAATAGCACAATATCAGGTTGTAGCCGGCATTTAGGTTTGGAGACTCACTCATGATGTGCTCGAACGATGTAATGGCATCTGTGTACTGCCCAGTTTTGATAAAGCTCACCCCAATATTCTGCATGATCTTAATCCTAAATGAAGGAGAGATAAGAGAAAGAAAGAAAGAAAAATAACCATGGATTTAACCTTTATATAAAATATTTGATGTCATTGTAAATACTCATGACACATCCTTTCCCTAAAAACAAGTTTCAAAAACATTCTGTTTTTGCAAAACAGGTATTATAAAAAATGTATACAGTTTAGGAACAGGATTAAAGCAGTATTAGACCCAAAATCAAATAATTCTTATATTATGCATTCATTTTCTTTTTTAGGCTTTCTTCCCTTTATTTTCACTAAGTGATCTAACCCGTAAGTCAGTATTTTTATTGTTTTTTAATAGAACAAGCTTGTCCTGCACAAGTGGCCATTATTGGGTTGAAAAAAAACATTTAGCACTTACATGGGTGCTTACAATGGCCTGCTTTTATTCATTTACTATATGTAAACCCTTTGTTCCGAAAGGAACAAAACTGTTGCTGTAACTGTATAACATGTTAGCTGGAGGTTGGCTTCAATTTGTGAGTGTATCTAAATCTGCTAGCACACCTAACATTCCCCTTCTGCCAGTCTGACAATGTTGCTGTCTAAAGGTGTCGCTGCTGCTCATTGATCCAGAGTGTAGGCACCCTAAAACAGGAGGTCTATTACTGTCCATTTCACCAGGTGAAACAGAGAGGAAAAAGCCTAAAAAAAAAAAAAAACCTAATGCAGCCACCACATTTAGCTGCAATATATAAAATTTTGGGGTTTAATACCCCTTTAAGATGTTTATTGCTACTGATTCCTTAAACAACCGTGTCAGTTGATGTAATATAATTGGATGATGTGGCAGGGAAGGCAGAGACTCTCTCTCTACAGAGGATCAGGTGGAGGGAGATGTGTCTTGAGTCACATTGTTAAAATAATCAGCAAAGTGTATCACCAACACACCCAAGTTGCTCTATTAACTTTGCGTTGCAGATTTATGCGACCACAGGGGTGCTGTGTTGAAACAATTCTTACTGAACCAAAATCAGCTTTCACCAACAGAAATGTACCAATACACTCAAATAGCACGCTTTCTAGCAACCCTAAAACATGCTGGAGACGTGACTACTTCCACTCCAATGGAACATTTATGCAAGAATTATGACAAGCATACTAGGTAAGTCTCAAAAATGTATATATTGTTGCATTCTAATTCCTCCAAACTATCTTATATGGAGAAATGGAAACAAGTCCTGGGCAAATCAATGGACAATGCAGAATGGGGAAAATTGGCCCAATACAACTCTAAGTCCTTTGTCAATACCTCATTAACAGAGGCCAATTATAAGGTCTTCTTAAAATGGTACATGGTGCCGGTGAAGATAGTGTCCTTTGTTTCAGATGCTTACCCCCATTGCTTAGGGTTAGTGGTCAAGAGGAAACAGTGTTCAACATATGGTGAACATGCCCAAAAGTTAATAGGTTTTGGATATGTATATATAAATTTGTCTATTCTCTCATCCAGGTAAACCTCATTAAAATATCCACAACAGGCCCTACTGGGAAGTCCAGTAGAGGGGATGCGGAGACATGTGAGCCGGTTGATAACCTTTATCTTTACTGCATCTAGAATCTCAATTGCAAGATCCTGGAAGTCTCCTGTGATCCTGTTTCATCTTTTGAAGGCCAAGTTGACATGGATCATGACAAATGAACGCCTGTACGGTATCTGATTAATGTGTCCCAGGTTTTTACATATTGGCCCTCTTTGAGAAAACTTAGGACCCATGGATCTGATACTTTACAGATTCCTCATGACTTGGATAGCATACTCATACCTGGACCTAGGGAGGGTGCACCTTTCCTCCTCTTCTCCTTCCTTTCCTTCCTTCTTGGTTTTTCTTTTCTTTTTATTTCAGTACTCCCCTTTATTAGGGAGCGATTCTTTTTTTTTTTTTTTTTTTTTTTTTTTTTTTTTTTATATATATATATATATCTTTAACTGCTGCATGAGGCATGCTGACTATAATTTATCTCATGGTGGGCAACAGGAGATATTGAAGGTGTGTCCAAGAGGCAGACATGTTGCACACCATTATAAACTCTCTGAGTACACATTGGCTACAGCAGACTTGTCAAAGGCACAGTAGAGAAGAAACTTGCTTGCCCGTTTTCTCTCCTCGCATTCTCATCTTGTCTAGCAAAGCACACCAAAGGAACACTCTGGCCTTTAGGACCTTCAATTTAGAGATATTTTTGTATCTTTCTTTGTCCTTTACACTGATATGTGCCTAGATGTACCTGACGTTGGATCTGTATTTTCTCCAACCCACATGTTTATGGGATGACTTTTGTACTTTATTAATTAAAAATTAATAAAAATCATTGAAAATGAAAGTTGCTCTGTTAACCATTTAGGTGTGTTGGTGACATTCTTTGCTGATTGGATCCCTTTGTGACAATGCCATTTGTTGCCGCAGCACAAATGGTTTGACAATGTCCCAGCTGTTTGGAGTGTGCCTGAACTACTACGTCATTACATTATAAAGTCAAACTATATCTACGTATCTGTCTTTGCTAAATTTCTCTTATATTTGGTGGAATAGGAATACAATCCATAATGCTGAAGCCCGCTGTTGGCTGATGTCATTCAGCCGGTCTAGGTCGGGATCCACCCCAGAGTCTGGAGCGGCACCTGGCTAAGCCATTCAGCAAGGCGCTGAGAACCTGAGCCAGCTGTTCCCTCCCCCTCCACAGCCCAGCCCTCAAGTGCGCACTGGGGAGGCAGAGCATAGAGCGGCGACTGACAGTCACCACTCTCTGCTCAGAGCGGCTTTCAGAACTCAGCGGTTATGTGAACGCTGAGTTCTCACTCTTAGAGCCGCCGGGGGACAGGTGCAGGACTTAAGTAAAATTGAGGAAACAAATTAAAGCCCACTCTTCTCTTTTAAAACAATCTACTGAGATCATGGCACATTTGAGAGCTAATGTCATAGGTTAGATTCAGTTTATCTGTGGGAAATAATTTTAGAGCAAGTGCTGGGAAGTACAGAGTCTATTGTTACTTGGTGCTCAATAACCTCAATACCTGAGTCACCAACCTGCAGCAGGCATGCAGCAAGAGGAAAGACAGCGCTCCTGATCTGTACAATTGTTCCGAAGTCACCAGGTCAGCATAAAAGCCAATAAACAAGTATTTTCACAAGGAAGGTCAGCAATGGAAACCTCTATATTTTTTTTTCAGTATAGGTTTCCATTAAAGAACAAAAAAAATCACATGGTTTAGATCTTTATTTATATATACAGTCAGGTCCATAAATATTGGGACATCGACACAATTCTAAAATTTTTGGCTCTATACACCACCACAATGGATTTGAAATGAAATGAACAAGATGCGCTTTAACTGCAGACTGTCAGCTTTAATTTGAGTGTATTTACATAAAAATCAGGTGAACGGTGTAGGAATTGCAACAGTTTGCATATGTGCCTCCCACTTATTAAGGGACCAAAAGTAATGGGACAGAATATTAATCATAAATCAAACTTTCACTTTTTAATACTTGGTTGCAAATCCTTTGCAGTCAATTACAGCCTGAAGTCTGGAACGCATAGACATCACCAGATGCTGGGTTTCATCCCTGGTGATGCTCTGCCAGGCCTCTCCTGCAACTGTCTTCAGTTCCTGCTTGTTCTTGGGGCATTTTCCCTTCAGTTTTGTCTTCAGCAAGTGAAATGCATGCTCAATCGGATTCAGGTCAGGTGATTGACTTAGCCATTGCATAACATTCCACTTCTTTCCCTTAAAAAACTCTTTGGTTGCTTTTGCAGTATGCTTTGGGTCATTGTTCCATCTGCACTGTGAAGCAGCGTCCAATGAGTTGTGAAGCATTTGGCTGAATATGAGCAGATAATATTGCCCGAAACACTTCAGAATTCATCCTGCTGCTTTTGTCAGCAGTCACATCATCAATAAATTCAAGAGAACCAGTTCCATTGGCAGCCATACATGCCCACGCCATGACACTACCACCACCATGCTTCACTGATGAGGTGGTATGCTTAGGATCATGAGCAGTTCCTTTTCTTCTCCATACTCTTCTCTTCCATCACTCTGGTACAAGTTGATCTTGGTCTCATCTGTCCATAGGATGTTGTTCCAGAACTGTGAAGGCTTTTTTAGATGTCGTTTGGCAAACTCTAATCTGGCCTTCCTGTTTTTGAGGCTCACCAATGGTTTACATCTTGTGGTGAACCCTCTGGGTATTCACTCTGGTGAAGTGTTCTCTTGATTGTTGACTTTGACACACATACACCTACCTCCTGGAGAGTGTTCTTGATCTGGCCAACTGTTGTGAAGGGTGTTTTCTTCACCAGGGAAAGAATTCTTCAGTCATCCACCACAGTTGTTTTCCGTGGTCTTTCGGGTCTTTTGGTGTTGCTGAGCTCACCGGTGCGTTCGTTCTTTTTAAGAATGTTCCAAACAGTTGTTTTGGCCACGCCTAATGTTTTTGCTATCTCTCTGATGGGTTTGTTTTGTTTTTTCAGCCTAATGATAGCTTGCTTCACTGATAGTGACAGCTCTTTGGATCTCATCTTGAGAGTTGACAGCAACAGATTCCAAATGCAAATAGCACACTTGAAATTAACTCTGGACCTTTTATCTGCCCATTGTAATTGGGATAATGAGGGATTAACACACCTGGCCATGGAGCAGCTGAGAAGCCAATTGTCCCATTACTTTTGGTCCCTTAATAAGTGGGAGGCACATATGCAAACTGTTGTAATTCCTACACCGTTCACCTGATTTGGATGTAAATACCCTCAAATTAAAGCTGACAGTCTGCAGTTAAAGCACATCTTGTTCGTTTTATTTCAAATCCATTGTGGTGGTGTATAGAGCCAAAAATGTTAGAATTGTGTCGATGTCCCAATATTTATGGACCTGACTGTATATACACAGTATAAATTTTTTTTTTTTTTTCTGCAGCAACAGCTCGACCCCTCCTGACAGTATTCTAAAATGTTCCATACCCTGTCACTGTAAAAAATATTATAATAGATGTGTGTGAGATAAAAGAAAAAAATATAAACAGATGTGTGTGAAAGAATAGAGTTATTAATTTTTTACTCTTATCAGAATACAACGGGGAATCTGGTGCAGGTGTGTACAGTAGCCAATCCAGGTTTTATTGTGAAAGCTTAATTGAACAAACTGAAGTTAGAAGCTGACTGGTTACTAGGCACAGATGCATCAGATTCTGTGTGCACCAGTTTTAGTAAATCTCCCCCAATGTTTTTCATAAAAGTGTAAATAAATATCGACAATTCTTGACAGCATGATATTGAAAAAAAGCAGCCTAAATCATATTTTCAAATAGTAACTAGTACTTTCCTCGGCCCAAATGTTTGTACAGGCTATTAACGTTTACTGACTGTGCGGGGGAAGTATACACATTTTGCAAGTTTCCATGGAAATAAAGTACACTGAGGGTAATTCTGTGAACACTCTGTAGAGGATATGTTAGGACTAAGACAGCAAGCAAAATTTCACAATACACAATGGGGTTGACAAACTAAAACTGGAGAGTTCAAAATCTGGGCAGTTCTGCACGGTAGCCAATCAGCTTCTAACTGCAAGTGGAACTTCATTCTCACAATCAACTGACCATTTTCTAATCCTTATGCTGCTAGCATTCGTAAATAGATTGGAAAGTATATCATATTTACTTGTTTTTAACATCTCTTTATTTACTTCCTGGTTTCCATGCCTAGGCAAATGATGTCATACATTGCATGATTCTTCAGGAGAGGAGGAGGAGCTTTCCTGGTTAAGCACACCCTCCTACCTGCATGCCTGAGCTAAGGGCAGATGCATTCCAGGAAGTAAATGCTACATGAATCTTCTGCCCTTACTCAAGATGGCCAAGGCCAGAAATGCTAGAGGGTGTTTTTCAGAGTGATTTCTCAGCAAAATAAAGCATGGAAACATGAATGGGTGGAGGAGTATACTTTGAATATTAAAAATTAATTAGTGTTTTGGGTTATAGCACTCAGATGCAGTGAAGTTCCGCTTTCAGATTGTTCAATTAAGCTTTCACAAAAAAGAAACTGGAGGCGGATTCCTATGCAGAGCTGCACCAGGATTTTGCACCCCCAGTTTTAGTAAATCAACTCCAATGGATGTTTTCATTTTGGAAAAGGCAGCTGAAATCAGATTATAAAACAGTATAGAGTACTTTCCTTGGCCCCCAATATTTATATAGGCTTTTGAAGTTTAAAGTGTCCAGTGGAGATGTACACATTTTGCTTGTTTCAACGGAACAAAGGAATGCTGAGGGCAGTTCTGTGACTGTTGTGCAGAGAATACTTCAGAACAAGACACAGGCAAAATGTCTTCAATTCCCTTGGGACACGATGGATGCTACCATTTTACTTTCCCGGCTTAAAATATATTGCAAGATGTCATGGGTTTCCCAGTACTAGAACCTTGGCTATGACTTTTGGGTCCTAGACCTAGGCTACATTCACATAGCTGACTAGCCAGGGGGTGAATAACAGCATTAGGAATCTGCTGATTCCTGCACCAGTTTCTGCCCCCTGTGAGCAACTTGCTGCAGCCACCAAGCTCTGTAGACTTCAATAGCTATCATTCAAGCACATAGGGATTTGTGGCTGCAGCTAGCCAATCACAGGTGGCAGAAACAGCTGCAAGAATCATCAAATTCCCGCTGCTGTCATTAGCACTGGAGCTTGTCGTCAATGCGAAAGTAGCCTTAACGTGGTTGTAAAGGCTAAATGTTTTTTACCTTCATGCATTCTAAAACTCATCCTAATACTCACCTAAGCCCCCTCTCAATCCAGTGATGTGCACTGGAGTCTCGGTAATCCCAGGACTCTCTCTCCTCATTAGATGAGACAGCAGGTGGAGTCATTGGCTCTCACTGTTGTCAATCACAGCCAGTGAGCCAATGAGAAGAGAGGGGTCAAGTCGCAGCTCCATGTGTGAATGGACACACGGAGCAACGGGTGCCCTCATAACAAGCTGCTTGCTGTCGGGGCACCCAAAAGGAGGGAGGGGCCAAGAGCACCGGCACGGAACCCGAGAAGAGGAGGATATGGGCTGCTCTGTGCAAAACCAAGCCTTTAATATCACTTTAAATGTTTATCAGCACATCTTTTAGCATTAGGTATTATTCACTGTCAAGAACCTGATAGTTGGAAGGTGTGGATCCACGCTGGGGTGCCCACCATACAACAATAGAAGGTGGAGATTAATAAAAAGCTCCCATGTGGGAAAATGATCTATGACCACAGAGGTTGCCCATATAAAAATGGCAGAAAGTGTGGGGTATGTGGCTGGCAGAATCTTCTATTTGATGTCCATTAAATACAGCTCCCAGTGGACAGTGATTCTTATATGTTTTGGCCAAATGTACTCTGGCTGCAGTGCCACATATGAATTTATGATCTATGATGTCTGAGGGTTTTTACTAAGTTCCAAATAGCCAATTTGAGATGGCATACAACCTTTTGGTTTTCAGATTTTACCAACCTAATATACTCTAAATATATTCTAATTACCGGTATACAGATTTTGCTATAATATTTTGCACCTATTCCTGTGAATAATCTGTGATTAGGGCTCTCATTTCATTTGTCTTCAGCAACTGATAACTTGCCAATTGTCTATGCAATACAGCGGAGACCTTGTCTTACCTATTTGTTTGACTGAATATGTACAATGTAGGTGCATGTCTTTGTCACCATTGATGATGTTACTTTATACCCATTTCAATACCAATTAAAATTCTTTTGGGTTAAAAATATCAAATATATCAGAAAGAGTTTCTCTTGCTCTGCCGCAAATGCTCACAAAAATCTGTAAGCATCTCAGGAAGAGTTACTTGCCTCATCTCTTTGTGTGCACCAGGGATCTGGTCAAGAGCCATACGATAATATTTTATTGCTTTAGAATAGTTCTTCTGTTTCAGATAGATGTTGGCCATATTGACCTTCAAGCGGCCTGTTAAAAAAAAAAAAAAAAAAGTTTCGAATAAAGCAACTGAAAGCAAAGTTTTTCTTTACTGTCCAAGCAACCATTGGTATAGTGTTCTACAATGATGGGAATGGACGCACAAAGTCAAATAGAGGTTCAGGATTCTGGCATAAGTAGAAATACGACTTTCATGGATTACTATATATTTTAAGTGAACCTGTGCCCATTTTCAATATCTTAAAAAAAGTAAAAGCCCTGCCTAAGTGCAGGCATGACACAATGCCTGGGATTACTCTTTTTACCAGGAAAGCCTCCTCAACTCTCCAATTTGTTTTTTTTTTTTATAGTTTCTTGCTGGTGTCTTACTTTCCCTGTTTTTCCAGCTGAACCCTGGTGGAGTTTAGCAAAATAAAATGATCAAACAGGGACACAGAAGAGGCTTTTAAGGCTAATAAATGTTGATAGCAGGCATCTTACTGTGTCTGCTCCTAGGCAAGATTTCTACTTTCAAAAGGTTTAAAGTGGAGTATATGATCACTTTAAAGCTGGACTCTAGGAAAGCAACCAATTACAGAACCAATATTTATATGTAAACTGTTACCTGTAAAAGAATTTGTAAACATGTTAGCTTGTGTTGCAGGTACAGACAGTAAATCAATATTGTGCACCCACTGACATTTCTCTCTATATGGTACTAGAACTAGAAATTGCCCCTAGCTTATTATTGGACAGTAAAGTAGAAAAAGCAGACTGATAAGATCATCGTTTTGTTCTCTCTTTCTGTCAGTAGACCTCCTAAATTAGAGTGACATTGTTGCACTGTGCTTTGCAGATTTATGGTGCAGTTCCTTCCTCTCCCAATCTAAAGACTGTTGTGAAGCGGATTACAGGAGGCCAAGATCGAGAGAAATATAGATATTTTTTCCAGTTGTATGCATAAACTAATTTTATAATTTTTAATAAATCTGAAACTCTATTAATGGGTGCTTTTTGGACCTCTCCATGAAAATCAGCTCTAAGCTAATCGGCTGTGCGGACAGCTGTGAATAGCTGCGGCTGCCAAAGACCTGTCATGATAGTGAACATCACTCCTGTCGCTGCAATTCCTGTACATTCGCACTGATCTAATTTGTCAGTGTGAATGTACAACCACCATTCCAAAAAAGTTGGGATGCTGGGTAAAATTTACATAAAAACGGAATGCAATAATATGCAAATCTCCTACACATATTTTATTCACAATAGAAAATAGAAAACATATTGTATATTTAAACTGAGAAAATGTACCATTTTAAGAAAAAATAGGGTAATTTTGAGATTGATGACAATAACACTTCTCAAAAAGCAGGCAAAGTAAGAGGTACTAACAAAGAAGAGCTCCAAAAATATTTTTCCACTAATTAGGTTAATTATTAACAGGTCAGTAACATGACTGAGCATCTTAGAGATTCAGAGTGTCTCTGAAGTAAAGATGGGTAAAGGTTCACCTATCTGTGAAAAGCTGCAACTAAAGATTGACAAACAATTTCAGAATAATGTTGGGACAGGGCCATGTTTACCATGGTGTAACATCCCCTCTTCTTTTAACACGCTCTAAATGTGTAGCCTAATAAAGGATAAATATACTTTGGTGTAGTTATCCTTCAAGTTACTCTCTAATGTCTTATACTCACATGTTGAAACTCCTGTAATGCCTGAACAGACAATAGCACATTTTTCAACAGAGCTCACGACTGCTCCCTCAACAGGTGGTCATCAAAGTAGGCTAATACTGGGGTCATCATCTTGGTGAACCCACGAGCTGAAAACAAGAGGGTGAATACCAGTGCCACAAAGTGGCAGTTTGGGAACCCACAGCGAAGTGAAGGAAATGCGCATGCACTTGAAAATGAGGACATAAAAAAGGTATGCATTTTTATATCCAAAGAAGCCCGAAAGTCTCCATGTTGAAGTGAAATTGGAGCTCCAATGAAGATTGGAGCTGTGAAATTCAAGATAGGGGGGATGCCCCTTTGGGTTTGGAAATGGTGAACGGGTCGGAGTAAAATCCTTGAAAGCATTCTGCTACAGTAATGATACATGGGTCCAGAAGACCCAAGAAGGTTTGATGGAGATCTGCTAATCTGTGCAGTGAAACAGGAAGGTTGGAGATGAGAAACCAATGAGGGGTAAGGCAGCAAAATTCCAGTTGTGGTCCTTTTCCACCTCCAGCAGCCAAGTGCTTGCAATGGTTAACAAGCATTGCCCCGGAATGGAAAGTGGGGGTGCAGCTGCAGGACAAGGAAAATTTGCCTGGGGATTTGGCAGACTTTGAGCCTCACACCTTGTGGGTGAACTGGGAGCAAAGCTTGGGTAGAATTCTTAACAGATAATAAGGAGATTGATATCGCAGTCTGTTCCTTAGGTATTTTCCACTGTAGAAGATGGGCTCTCGCCCCCATCAACATCCTTGATAATGGTGTCAAGAGTAGATGCAAAGAGATGTTGTCTCTCAAAGGGCATGCAGATCAGATGCTTCTTGAAAGCAGGTTTCTCAGTCCAGCACTTTAACCAGTGTCCTATGCATGTGTACTGACAGGAGACCCATGAGAGAGATAAGCAGGAAGCCTCCAGCACAACATCACAACTTAAGTTTAAAGCTACAGCAATTTGCACTGTGCATTCTATAATTAAGGGACCAACTGCAGTAGTGAATAGTAAGATATCTTTTAAGGGATTTTGACCAGTCAGCCATGGTGTGGCCCTTAAAAGTCACAGCTAAGATAGGATGAAGAGTACGACCCACAAGTGAGAAATGCGGTCCAGAAAGGGCCTCCAACTGCTGATAAAGTTAGATCCCTAAAAGAAAGGTGTATCTTACATCAGTATGGGAGTTGCTTTGTTAAGACACTGCTGAATCCACAGTGGTTTGGTAGACCAGTTTTGTTCAGGATCCTCCCTAAATGGGTACAAGGCTAAGAGATGCTTGTGGGGAGCAAACCTTTGTCAAGGCATTTCTAATCTGCATACAGATGACAGCAAAAACGATATCTACCATATCTATAAGAACTGAAACAGTCTCTTAATTTGGAGTAAAAACAGTGGACTATGACTCCTCAAGACAAGCTCATCAGTTAAAGACTGCAGCGACTCAGAATCAGACAAGAGTTTTCAGCAGCTAATTGCTCAGAAGCTGGCGTAGCAGAAGGTGCAGATGCTTGCTTTTGGTCTCTTAGGTTAGAGTGAGCAAATAACAGGGTGATTTGGATCATAGAGTCTTGCCTAACTGCAGTAAAAACCTCAACCAAAAGGGCAAAGGAACTGGGCAACAGGCTACAGACCTTGACTGTACACTGCAAGGAGCCCTGGAGCCATTACATCTCCACTGCCACCCCCAACCCCACTCCTTCCCAAGGTCTAGAATCAGAGAAGCTGCAACCATGAGGATAAAAGGTAATGCTTAAGATACTCACAAAACCTAGACAGCTGGTAGCTACCATTCACTGTTGGTGGGCAGCAAGAACAGATTGAAGACTGTAGTCCTACATGGCTCTTTGAAAGCATATTCAGCAGCAGGGAAATTCTTCCTCGAGTGGAGTGTGTGCATTAACAACATTAACCCTTTCTGCTGAAAAACAGATGGAAATGGGCAGTTTTAAAGATGTCCAGAGACCTTTCTAATTGAGGTAGCTCACAGCCTGACTGGTGCACTCATAATGTGAGTTTTCAGAGACAGGGCAAGCACTAAAGCAATGCCAGTGGCTCTGGATCTGGAAAGTGCTGAGCGGGTAACTTTTACTAGAGTCAAGTCTGGAAAGTGCCTTGTGTGAAATCCAGTGTCCAAAGGTCACTTCTATAATATCCCCGCAATGTCTAGTCCAAAAGGATCTGAACTCTAAAAACGATGGGCAGCAACACTGGCAATTTGCAAAGAAAGAGGCAAGCTCCAGCAGTGATATACAGAACAGTCTTGACTGTAGAAGAAAATCTCAAAAAAAAAAAAGGCTGCCAGCAAAAAAAGGTTGGTCTTGCACACAACAGAGTTGAAAAGAAAATGTCCATCTTCCTAAGACACTAGCAAAACATTGAGGCATGCAGGAAGTAGAAGGGGTTACCCTGGGCTGACTTACAGTTTGTGTACCAGTGTCTAATCCTCCTTTAGGCTGCAGTATAACACAAAGGTGAGACACTTGCTGTGTCCCTCAGTGGCTGAGAAAGAAAGTGGTTTTGTTTACTTGTTTCTGCTGTATGGAAGAATTTTGTAAATCTCAGAATTGGACAGGAGTACAAATCCTTTGGCAGGTAAACAGCTCCAGTATTGTATCTGTATTGTATTGTATTGTATTGTATTGTAAACAGCTCCATCTCTGTATTTAGCTGTCCAGCTATTAACTTCCTGTGGATCACCCACTATAAATATAAGGCCCTTCTACTCCCCTATGTCCTCCAGAAACTGAGCTCCTGTGTGCGCACAGTCTTGTAATTGTGCTTTGATTGGACTCAGTGGATCACAGGTAAAATGTACAGACCCAATGGGAGTGGCTCTGTACCAAGTGATCGCTGTGACCAATCACAACACCATAGAATATAAACACAGGCTGCAGTATAGTGTCAACAATATTAAAATTTCCAACCCCCCCGTCCTTAGTCTGTGCATCTGTACATTAATCCCCTCAATTCTTCCCTCATTTCACAAAAATTGTGGCAAAAAAATTCAGATCACTTTGGGGTGTCTACTTTCCAAAAAGGGGTCATTTTGGGGATGGCATTTTATTTGCTAGGTTTTAAAACTGAAAGTAAGGATACCTTTTTTATTTTTGGCCTTTTCTCCTTTATATAGTAAAAAAATAAAACCCCAATGGTTATTAAACACCACCACAAAAAGCTCCATCTTTCTCAAAAAAATTATATAAACGTCATTTGGGTACAGTGTTGCATGAATAACTCTCAGTCAAATCATCACGGTGCTGAAAACTGAAAAATAGCCTGGATAGGATGAGGGGTGAAACATGCCAGTACTGACGAGGCTAAACCAACAGCATATTTTC